AAAAAAAAAATCTTTTTTGAAGATTTTTTGAGTTATAATTATTATTAGATGTGTTAGTAAGTTGGATTTGGCCTGTAATTACAGGAGAAAAATTACTATATATATAAGTGAAATAGATTGGATTTTTGAAAAATTTTAATATTTTTTAAGTTCGCGACGAAATTATTAATAAACTTAATTACGATTGCAATCGCATGAAACATATACGTTAATTATTTAATTTATACAGAGATTAATTAACATTTTGGGTGTATGTATATGGGTTAACATTGATTAATTTAATTACTATCTTAATCTTAATTTTAACATGATACACATAAAAGAAGCAAGGTACAAGGTACAGGTTGGCAAAACAGGAATTACTGAGAAAGAGATGAGCTAGCTTAATTATCTTTTTAAGCAAGTTGATTAAGTATTTAATTACAAGAATTACAGAGACACCTGCACAAAGAGAATAATTTAAGGAGAAAATTCATTAATTTTACAGCTAGGTAATGACATGTAAATATGTTGTCTCTCTTAGTGTTTTGTGTGCTTCCAGACATGTTTTTCGTAGTAATGCTTTATTTTAAGCAAAGCTTACAGAATTTGTTAACACATGAGAGGAATATTTTGGGGAAATATATAAAATATTAATTAAAATTAAATCACAAATTAACAACTAATTAATTATTAATCTCTCTTTTTCTCCATCTTTTTCTTATGTACTGTATCTGTACTTTAACTCCTTGAGAGAGAGTGGTTCTTTGATATTGGTTGTCATTGTCTGATCTTAGTGTTGATTTTTTTTTTTTTTTTTTGTGTTGATTTTTTTTTTTTTTTTTTTTTTTTTTTTTTTTTTTATATCACAGGTGTATCTGGTCCGTTGGATTAAATATAATCATGTTCGAATCGCGTTAGCACTCCTAGTTGAAATTTTCTCCATTCACAAAAATCGATCACTCACCTCTTGCTTAAAGGACCTGACTCTTTTCCACTTGAAGCAATCTCTTTGGTTAGTGTTCATTAGTTTTTGTATGATTTTTGAAATTTATGTTCCCTTAATTATGAAATATAAAGTTTCAATTTTATATATTAGAAAAAATATTAATTTAATATATATGGATTATTTAAAAGAATATTAATTTATAATTCATTAAGAGGAGGAGCTTACGTATTAAAAAACAAGGGGTATGGTCTAAAGAGGAGAGATTGGTCGAGGCCCTACAAAGAGAAAAAGGCCAAAATGAATGGGAAATTTCCAGAGTTGTAAAACAAAACATAATATATATAGTTTGATAAAGAAAAGATAATGATATAAGCTGAGACATTAAGTCAGAAATGTGGGTCATCATACCATGTGGGATGTCTACTGTAATGTTCTTGTTCTATTCTACTATCCAACCAACCTTCAAATTATTTTCTTTTTTCAATATAATAATTTTATAGCAAAAATATCACATTGAAAAAATCTTTAATATTTATAAAATTTTTTTAAACTTTATATTCACAATAGCTCTATATGTATTCATAGAATAAATTTTATATTAGTAACTATAACTCTTGAGCAATATGATGCTGGTAATCACCTATACAATAAATAAATTATAAATATTATTTTGATTCCGATTAAAAGGTATTTTTGACCATACACGAAAAAAAATAAGTATAAAATGGTAATATTTTTTTAAAGAACTTTTTTTATCTTACATGAAATATTGTTATCATAACTCCTATTCCTTATTTTAATCAAAGTTATTTTTAAACTTTTGGGCTAATATTTAGGACCTCAATATGCTATAATAATAATGGATATGCTCTTATTTGTTTAAGGGTTTTTGCTTCTTCAATTGTTGTATTATTGATTTAATGATTTTTTAATTTTCATTCATCTGTTTAATTTTGAATTAATAGCTTATTAAGCTGAATGATTAGTAGCATTATCAACAAGTATAAGTCTTTGCGGCCACAACGAGGGAGGGATAGAGAGAGAGAGAGAGAGAGAGAGAGAGAGAGAGAGAGAGAGAGGAGAGAGAGAGAGAGAGAGCTATACATCAGGATTTACATTTTAGAGTTGTAAAAGACATAAAGAGACAATTGTACATACTTTGATGAGATCCTTCCTTCACATTTCTATATTTGAGATTTTCAAGAGGCTCCTTTTCCTCTCTTAATTTCAACTAAATAAAGATCTCCACATATTTCCACCAAAGACTTCCATTAATGTTTGAAATTTTCTTAGTTGAACCTTTTGAAAGATCTCTTTTAATTTTTTTTCATTATTTTCTAGAAAATATCCAATTGCAATGAGGTTTATGAAATTGGTTGGGCTAATAATTTCCATCGATATTTAGGGCCTCTATCTCCCATAACAATAGAAATAATGGGTAAGCTCTCCAACTTTTGATTGCCCCAAGGCTTTTAAGCTTAAGAACTAATAGTTCCTTTTTCTTCTTTGTTCAAAGCTCGAGGTCGTTTGCTTCTTCAAATTTTTGGGCCAAGGCCCATCTTACTGATCATAATATATAATATCTAATATTTGGGGGAACGTAAGTGCATAGTTGCGGGGATAGCTCAGTTGGGAGAGCGTCAGACTGAAGATCTGAAGGTCGCGTGTTCGATCCACGCTCACCGCATTTTATGTTTTCCCTTTTTATGGAGTTCCTCGTTTGCGCGACAGCGATGTCATGGGCTGCGCCTCCTGAAGCCAGGATGGGCCCATGATTTTAAAATTTTGCTTGTCTTTATATTTCCATCTCAAAAGATTTTTTATTTTCACTTTCATTTTATTTGACATCAAACTCTAAATGTGGGGATTTAATGCCCAACATGTTAGAATTTGTAAATTGCTTCTCTCTCTCTCTCAATCTATAACTCTTTTTAGGAATTAATATATATATATAGGTTAACATTCCTCCCAATTGTCAACTTTTGAATCTCCAATTAAGATAATGCAAGCCAGTTAATACCACACTTATTCAAGGAAACAACATATGGTACAAGTTGGATCGTCTTCTGCTTATTCACACACAAAAATTAACAACATCCATAATTTCATCTCTACCTTTTTTTTGAGTAACACTAATTAATAGTATTTAACCTTATGCAATAAACCAATTATATAATGATAAGATATCAATATTTCCATTGCAGATTGCAGATTGTATTAAGTTATGTAATAATAGTGTACTTTAGTTAGAGTATTTGTTAGTATACTCATTTTCACATTTACTTTGAATTTTCTCATAACATTGAAGCTTTAATTGTTTATGATTTAAGTTTTATTTAATCCATGAATTCCTATTTCCCTAAAAAAAAAAAAAAAAAAAAAAATTTCCCTAAAAAAAAAAAAAAAAAAAAAAGATTATTCAAGCTAATTGAGAGGTTAAAAGTATTAATAAAAAGAAGAAAATCCGTAGTGATGAATGAAATATGATCAATTACAATCTAATGTATGCATCAATTTTCCTTCACAGTGATGCGCAAAAGACATTTTCATTGCGGAAAAAAAAAAAAAAAAAAAAAGATTATTCAAGCTAATTGAGAGTTAAAAGTATTATAAAAAGAAGAAAATCCGTAGTGATGAATGAAATATGATCAATTACAATCTAATGTATGCATCATTTTCCTTCAAAGTGATGCAAAAGACATTTTCATTGTCGGGCTTGACCAAAATTTTCTAATGTGGGCCATGGCCCACAACTAAGACTACATAGTGGACAAATGGAGCTTTGGCATACATTTGATAGCCACATGTCCTCCATTTTATGGGCTAATTTTTATGAGATTCCCATTATTGAAACCTCGACAAAGAAAATGGATATGTTAGGGTATTGGATGGATGGAGAAAGACATATGATACCCAATGATCAAAGATGGATATATTAAAGGGTACCTCCAGATTTTTTATTGCATATTTTATTATTTGATATTTGCAATCAGGTTTTTTCACCCAGTATAATAGAGGTCGGGTGTAAGAGGAGAGTCTAGCGGCGGAATTTCAGTATGCTAAGTTTTTCATGAATTTTATTAATAATATTTTGATTTTCAAGAAAAAAAAAAATATAAGACGGGTATCTTTTCTCACTAATTTAATTTCTCATATAACATTTTTCATGGTTAAAATAAAACTGTCATTTTTGCCATTTGTGTTGGCTCGTGAACTATAATATATTAATGAATTATGCAATGAAATAAATCTATTCCATTTTCTTAATGTAAAACCTGAATAAAAATTTTAATATCCAAATCTATTTATAAAAATAAATAATGCATTTTTTGCATTTTATTTTCTGAGTTGTCCCATTATGTTTTCTTGTCTAGAAAAAAGTTAAGATTTAATTTATAATAAAGTTTGTATTATTTAAAATAATATTATACTATTTAAAATAAATAAAAAATGGAAATTATTTCATTTCTTTACATTTTCATTTTGTCTCCCAATCAGGACCACCTCACCTCATTATTGCAAATGAATTACAAGGAGCCTTATCAACTTAGGTGTAGTCTCTGTGATTTTCATACACCAACCTTTAAAGATACTCAACCACATTAAAAAAAAACCTTTAACATAAGTTTTCACTTTTTTTTTTTGAAAATAAAAATTAATTTTTATAAAAATAATTAATTTTTTCATTATGAATAATATTATACCTATTATTTGCTGGGTTGGATGACGTATTTGATAAAACGCTAATGAAACAATTGAGAACTATTAAAATTTAACTAATTTTGATGAATATGTCCTATTAATTGTATTTTGACACCCAGATTAGGAACACGCTACTAGATAATAATATTAATAATAATTAATAATAATTACTGATCTAATCTTGTAGCCTAAGATCCTTTAAAACAGAAAAAGAAAATCTTGCATCAACTGCTTGTCACAATAGAGAAAAAAAAAAAAAAGAGAGGAAACAAACAAAATAACTGATAGTGGGCCTCTCTTTCTCTCTGTTCTTTTTACTCTTCCTGATTCTGCTGTCTGTCAACAACAAAAAGGCAAAGCAAATAGGAGAAACAAACCAAACCAAGGAAGATGAAAATGAAAATATAAAGATTATTAGATTTCATCTCCTGTTTCTTTTGTCCAAGTTTTAGAAAAGACACCCATTTCTCGTTTCTCTCTTATTCACATTTATTGCTGTTTCAGTCGCTCCTTGCTGTTTTCTGTCTCGTGTCCATCGCCATTTTTAATTGACATCCAAATCAAACAAATGTCACGAAATAAAAACTAACCCTTTCTTTCTCTCTCTCTCCAGCTTTGATTTGGCAATGCCAATGTCCAATCCTACGAACTAAAAGACAATTACAATTACCATTAAAACAATTATTCATGGCAACAACTACTACTACAACCACCAAAGCTCATCTTAAAGTCCAAACTCAGCCCACTAAGCCCAAGCGCCGTAAGTGCCGTGAAACCACCATTTCTGCCACCGCCACCACCACCGTTAATAATAATACTGATAATAATAGTTGTAGTAATAACTCTGAATCTGCTTCTTCTACTTCTGCTACTGCTACCGGATACTTTACCCATAGTCAAAGTCGGAAACTTGACAAACCCACAATTGTTTCGCCTGATAAGTCTTGGTGTTGCCCTGCTTCTAATTCTAAACCTATCCCTGCTCCACCTTCGCCGCCGTCTCCTCCTCCGCAACCTCGTCATTTAACTATAAAGGAGTCTCACACAGTTCTCGATTCACCATCAACTTTCAAGATCCGGTTCTCTCCGGGGAGTCTGTCGCCAGTCATGGATTTTACACATACTTCTGCTTCCACTGTAACTGCTAACGGTCACCACTCTCCTCATGACCCTTCTTCTTTCCCTTCGAGTTTTACCAAATTTAACTCTGCACTCACTGCGGGTCTGTTAAACCCGATGTCGCCTCCGCCGGATAAACCCCGATCCAGCCCGACCCTTTTTGAGATGATGGCGAGCGAACCCGAAATGCAACCCAGAAACCAGATCCCAATTAACAATGGAAATGTTCCTGTTCGAAGCTCGCAGAATGCTCAAATGTCTGTTCAAGATAAACAGACTCTAATAATGCATCGAATAGCTGATATTTTGAGTAACAGGAGTCCTGGCAATCAGTTCAATGATTCATCGACCAGTGATGTGAAACTGACATTGAGTTCTAAGGACGGAATTAGTGTGTCAATGAATGTGCACAGGCAGATCCTAGTGGCTCATAGCAGATTTTTTGCGGTGAAATTGTCGGATCGGTGGGCTAAAAATCAGCGGACGTCTTCGCCGTATGTTGTGGAGATTGCCGATTGTGATGACGTTGAGGTTTATATTGAGACTTTAAGGTTAATGTATTGCAAGGATCTGAGGAGAAAGCTCATGAAAGACGATGTAGGCAAAGTTCTTGGTATTTTGAAGGTAAGTTGTTATTGGGTCAAGTGCTTACTACGTAGTCTGTTTCGTGGTTGCAACTGTCGCAATATGTTGGAAACTTTGTTAAGTTTTTATAATTTTTTAATATTTCAAGTGGTTTTCGTGTGGTCGCTGAGAGACTCTGGAAATAGACAGGAAACCTAATGTTGAAAGCAATATGTTTGGTAGTTGAGGAAATAAACGAACGGGAAGGAAAATGTGGTTGAATACAGGTTTTTTTCTTTTTTGAAAAAGTTGAATTGTGAATGATATAGATATAATCATTATGCAGTTTAGTTAGGGTTTCTAGATACATACTCTGCAGGCATGAATCACAAAGTTTTGGTTTTGTTTTTCTGTTTTTCTGTTTATTTTTTCTGTTGAATATGTGTTGGCAATCACAAATTCTGGGCTAAGGTTTTGTGTTGCTTAATTGGTTTGTTCTTTTATTAGGTTTCTGCTGCAATTGGGTTTGATGCTGGCGTTTTATCTTGTTTGGAGTACTTAGAAGCTGCTCCATGGGCTGAGGATGAAGAAGAGAAGGTGGCCTCTCTGTTGTCTGAGCTGCGACTTGAAGGAGTTGGAGCAGGAGACGTACTTAAAAGGGTTTCAATTGAAGTTACTAATGGAGCAGAAGAGAGTAGCAACAATGATGAAGTGCTTCTTAAGCTTTTGCATGTAGTTCTTGAAGGGAAAGATGAGAAGGCTAGGCGTGAGATGAAAGGGTTGGTGTCAAAGATGCTTCGTGAGAATTCTTCTCAGAATGATCTCCGAAAAGAGTCATTATACTCTGCTTGTGATGGTTGCTTGCAGTTGCTTCGTAACCATTTTTTTCGGGCAGCAACAGGCAATATGGAGGATATTGGACAGATTGCAAGGCAAGCAGACAATCTGCATTGGATTTTGGATATTTTGATTGATAGACAAATTGCTGAAGATTTTCTGAAAACATGGGCATCTCAGACTGAATTATCTGATGCGCATTCTAAAATTCCCGCTGTTCATAGGTATGAGGTTAGCAGAGTCACAGCGAGGCTGTTTGTTGGGATTGGAAAGGGGCAGCTATTGGCTTCAAAGGAAGTGAGATGCTTGCTTTTACAGACATGGTTGGTGCCATTTTATGATGATTTTGGGTGGATGAGGAGAGCATCAAAAGGCCTCGATCGACATTTGATTGAGGATGGTCTTAGTAACACAATTTTAACTCTACCTCTAGCTTGGCAGCAAGAGATTTTACTGGCTTGGTTTAATCGGTTCCTGAATTCTGGCGAAGACTGTCCAAATATTCAAAGAGGGTTTGAAGTTTGGTGGAGAAGGGCATTTTGGAGACGCAATGGTGAGCAAGAAAGGTCAAAGCCCTTGAGAATCACAACAGCAACCATTGAGAACTCATGAAAAGTTATAAATTCCATAATGCACGACATGGTTCTCTGATGGGTCAGTCTCCTTTTACAATGTTGTGATGGATTTGATTATGACTCCACATCTATAATTCTTGCTTTACCCTCTTCCTTTCTAAACCAGGGCTGACAATTCATGGCAGAAGATTAAAATTGCACAGAGATGGATGATGTTTTTGTTATACTGGAAATAGACAGGTTTAGTCTGGAAGAAGAGGAAGAATATCGGGTGCAACTTGAATATTTTGTTGGGAATAACCTTATAATAGAGATTGCTTATTTTTGTTTCAATTTGGATGCTACTTCCATTTTTTCTTTCTTTCTTTCTTTCTTTCTTACTATTTCATTGGATTTGCTTAGATAGGAATACTGTGATCATCTTGTATGTAATTGTCTTTTAAATTATGATCTTCATGAGGATTGTTGCACTTAAAGAAAAGGATAATCCAAATCTGTAAATCAAGATTATTGTTTACTTGATGACAGAAACCTGTGGACTGGTTCCGTAACTTAAAACATGATCATGTACTAGGACAAACGAAATCTGGGAGGCAGATTCTCAATGCTTGCATCAATGACCATCTTTGTGATGGGATATATGTTCTATTAATGGTTATATTGTGAGACATGAATCCTGAAACTTCTGTTGTCAATATTACCTTTTATTCTCACTTGTAAAAAGCATGTTGCCCATTCTATATCTCCCATGTTAATTTTATACCTCAGCTGTTGGATGAGTAACTAGAGCTTGGATTTCTTGCTATGTTTGTATTATCCTAATGTCAGATTCTTAGCACTCGTAAGTCATTTACATCATCTGTATCTGTGAAGGTTGATCTTAAGTTTCTTGTTTCTATTACCTTTTGAACCTTCGATTCTCTTTCACATTGAACTGACTACATGCAAGTTTTAGTTATATTCACACACATGGGTTCAAAATGCAGAATGCCATGTTTGCAGGTATGTTGATCAAGACTTGTAGGAATCTATTGCTTTGACAGAACCTGCATGCCAGTTCAAGACGCTCGAATCAAATGACTATGGACAGCCAGTTTGCGAATACTTTTCGTGATATGGCAGGCAGTGGAAGCGATTCCTTAGCTCTTGTTAGGAATGACTTCTCTAGGGGTTTTGTTAAGGGAATAAGTGTTATGTGTTATGTTCAATTCAGAGAGGAAAATGATTTTTTTTTAATGACTGTATTAAGAAGCAACCCTAACTATTCTCATTCAATAAAAAAAAAAAAAGGTGATAACTTTATAAAACATAGGAAAAGAAAAAGCTTCTGCTGCAATGCGTTGAACTGTCACGTTGAACTCTAAAATACCCAATATTTTTCTTGACCTCAAAATCTCAAACTGGGGATAGTTAAACTGAATAATATATATATATGTTATATTATTAAGAAGGGAAAAAAATTTTGTAGGGGATGTAGCTCAGATGGTAGAGCGCTCGCTTAGCATGCGAGAGGTACGGGGATCGATACCCCGCATCTCCATTATTTTTGGTTCTTTTTATTTAAAACAATTATTTATTTACCCTAAAAATTAAACGAGAGAGGTGAGGAAAACAGAAGGGATCGCGGCGTCTCTGTCTCTAGCAAATACTTCAAGCGTATTGGAGAAGCAAATGAGTTGAAAGAAATTGCAGAGAAAGATCGGTACTCATCCTCTTTTCCTCTAGTTCTGGATTCATTTGATTGTTGCTTCTTTACCTTTTATGCCCCTGTATCTCCATAACCTGTGCATTCGGCGGTGCTTCACTATTCAATGGCAATAATCTTTTGGGTCCTGGGCTTAGTATTTTGAAGTAGGAGATTTGGAGTATTTTTGAGTCGGGCATCGGTGAAGATTTCAACTAACGGTGATTCTTAGTGTTTCTTATGTATAGTGATACAGAGGTTCTGCGTTATCTCCTTGTTTTCTCTGTGTCTTGTGGTAGTTTTATAACCTATATCATGGTTCTTATGTCTATGTTTCTCAAGTAACTGTAACCTATATTTTATAATGGAGAGTAGAACCTTCGTGAAACTACTGACACTTGTTAGTTTTGGCGGCTACATTCTTAAATTGTTTGCTTTAGAGGAAATTGCACCAGTTGATTCGATTTGAATCCCGTTTAGTGTTTGTGTTTGGATTCAATTTTACAAATTGTACCGTAACATGCTTGTGTTTTTTTCTCTTGTATTGCAATTTAAAGTAAGGTTCTAGTTGGAAATCTTGCAGTAATGGCGTCTTGCAAAACCTATGGTCAGAAGCCATTGCTTGATGGGCGAGGATTATCACTGGGCAACATGCATGGTGTTATGGGTTTGAAATTTTCTAGTCTTATCAACCCTGATTTGACTTGGAAGAAGGTTGCAAAAGGCAATAGGACTTCATCTAGGCAGGCGAGGACCTCAGTTTCTAGAAGTTGGAATGCCAACGAGGAAATGATAAAAACAGATCCTAACACTATGGACATGCCATTTTCTGAATATGAGAAGGTTATTATACGTGCTATTTTCTCCATTTTTTGCATTAGTAGATGATATGATAAATGCGTGCAACTCTGTGGCATTATAATGATATTTATCTTCCCTCATTTTATCTGGCAGCTTGGAATAAGCGTTCTTGGGTGTCACTTTAGTGAAAACATCGACAATGTTCCTATTAAGAAAAGGAAATTAGTGTTTAGATCTATTTCTCCACTTCGCAGACCTGCTTCTCAACCTAGCGAGGAAAAATGCCATCCCAGAAAGAGTCAATCTGGACCAATAGATTTTTCTGGTTCTAAAAATGACTTGGGACAAACTATTGATACTGAAAATGATGTTTGTGAGAAGAATTTGCAGAGGGTAAGAACACAACTTAATGAAAGGGAAGATTTCTCCGGTATCTACATACTTGCATCTGCTGCCTGCTGTGATAGTTGTGAAGAAGTTGATGACCATGTTGTGGAAATTTCCGGAGTTGGTGAATCTTATGCATGTGAAGGTCCTTCAATGGAAAATAGGTTATCTCCTTTGTCAAAGAGAGTCGTGAAAGATGACCTTACTTCTGCCAAAATTTCAATTCAAGGAACTGTTTCCTGCACTTCGGTAGTACTTGCTGAAGATTCCTCATCAATAACACATAATTCCTTTACAGAAGGTATGTTGCAGGGGAATACCCATGCTAAGTCTACGGGGGATTGTTCTGTGACAATGTCAAAGGATCTGTTAATCAAGAAGGTTAAGGAGACAGATGGACTGCATGGGTATTGTTCAAAAGTTGATAGTTCATTTTGTGTGCCTAGTACATATGAAACTGGTTCCTCTGGCTTATTGATTGAAGAGCTGAATCTTGCTCCTAATGCAATTTCCTTAGTTAACACCACTAATGAGATGCTAGATATTGTAAATGATAATGCAAAGGGTGCAAAACAGTATTCTTTTTGTCAATATAATGAACTGGAATCTCTCCAATCTGCTAAAAGTGTGGAGATGTTAAACTTAGCTCTGGATTCAAAGGTAAAGTGTGACAAAGTTTTTGAGCATGAAGAAACTGATAATGCGACGGACGAGGGAGGTGAGAAACCTGTGACAAAGTCTTTGGAACTTTCTACAGCATTGCTACATACTCGTTCTTGTACACACAAAAACAACCCAGAGGATAGTGTAGATGGTTTTGACAAGATGGCTGTAGAAGAACCATCTGATAATGGTAATAATTCTAAATTTTCTCATGATATTAGTGCTTATGAGAAAGCTAGTAGGTTTGAGGTGGATTATGATTCTCAATATGAAGATGGAGAAGTGAGGGAATCCATAGAGTATAACTGGCATGGACATGATGGTAAGGGTATAGAAGCTGAACATGTAGATTATGGTTGTGACATTGTTAACTTCGGTTCTGGAGCTGAAGAAATGATGACAAATACACACACAATGGGCTTCCGAACTTGTTCAAGTAGGTTGAAAGATAAAGGTGCTAAGGATATAGTTAAGATTGGTGATAGAACTTGCAGCAAACCCAAATTAAGGACAGACAAGGAGATTGCAGATGGCAAGATTGTTAGTGGGAAGGATGATAGGAGGATTGGAAAAAGAAATGGCAATACCCGGGAAAATATTTGCAGCGATTATCAGTCAAGGGTGACAGAGTCAAAAACATTCAAAAGAGAGTTTTGTTCTCGTATTTCAGTGGGAGCATTTCGTGGTAGAAATGAAAGGTATTAATATTTTTCATTTTGTTCTCTCTTTTAATCTCTTTCCCATTTTTTTTTTTTTTTTTTTTTTTTTTTTTTATACCCGGGAAAATATTTGCTAGCGATTATCAGTCAAGGGTGACAGAGTCCAAAAACATTCAAAAGAGAGTTTTGTTCTGCGTATTTCAGTGGGAGCATTTTTCGTGGTAGACCATGAAGGTATTAATATTTTTCATTTTGTTCCTCTTCTCTTTTAATCTCTTTCCATTTTTTTTTTTTTTTTTTTTTTTTTTTTGATGGAGCCTTAAAATACTGGGGAACAGGAAAGTAACAAAGTCATTTTTCCTCTTCCCTTTGGGTTTGGAGGAATTTTTTTTTTTTTTTTTTTTTTTTTTTTGATGGAGCCTTAAAATACTGGGGAACAGGAAAGTACCCAAAGCTCATTTTTCCTCTTCCCTTTGGGTTTGAGGAAGTTTTGGTACTCTGTGTAGATGAATGACAATTCATCCAACTGGTTGTTTGTTTAAGTGAATTTCCTTTTACGTTCTTGAAGACAGTGATCCTGTTGATCCAAATACAGATTTGAATATGTTGAATCCTTTTGTAGGGATAGATCTGTGAAGCATCCTCATGCTACAGGTCAAGGAGGTGATTGCTCAGTTGATACTCAAGCCGGCAGCAATAGGGGTTTAAAAGACCACTCAGGCAAGTACCATGGCTCAATGTCGTTTCATTTTAGGCCAGCAAAAGGCTTGCATCATCTTACAAGAAGTAGGTCACCAACTGCTGGAGATGAGGATCATGGTACACGTATGCATATCGAAGCATCTAGGAATCTCAATCCTGGTTGGCATGTGACACTAGGCAGGGACAGGTCTAGGAGATATGATCTGCAAGTTGAAGGGACAGTCCCCAAGAGAAGGTTCCATGGTTTTGTAGCCGATGATCACAGTGGTCCTTCCTTGACTGGTTCTTTTCCATTATTCAGGGGAGATGGAAGATCTTCAACTGTTAAAAGAAGGGATCCTTGTGTACGTCAATCACATACAAAATCTTCATCAAGACCTAGAAATCGCTGTTCCAGCCCTGGGAATCCATGCTTTAGATGTCGAAGTAAATCTCCTGATTTTAGATCTTCTAGTTCTATCAAAATGCAGAGATTGCAATCGTCTAATGAGAGGCCTGGTCATTTGGTAGATTGCATTGAAGAATTTAGACCAGCACCAAGAATTCATGGTTCCTCGCCTCATAATACGCGATGGTTTGGTGATAGGAAAGGTGGTGCTGTTCGTTTCAGAGAGAGAAGTTACAATAAGCATTCTTCATTTCTTGGCAAGCGATCGGTGGGGAGATTTTTCCGACAGGATGACAGGTTTGACTTGGTTGATTCTATGCAAGGCTATAAATCTTTGCACCCAGGAAGATCCATGGAGCTGGATAGAACCAGTGGAGGGGGTTTGAGGTACAAAGAGAGTGGTGATGATAGCGGCAAGCATCGGAATAGGTATGAGCTGGTTCATGCGGTGAAGCAATACGACATGGATGGACCTGTGAAGCGATTTCGTTATAGTGCTGTGGATGGTTGTAATTCTTGTCACACTGAAGTTTCAGATTTACTTGGTAGAGGGAGTCTAAATTATCATGGCAGGGGCACTGATAGCCAAATTGGTGACATACCAAGGGGAGATAAAAGCCCTTTTACATATCCAAGAGAAGGTAAATATAGTTTTGATTCGAAGTCATATGGGGTGCATGGAGGGGTTGATGACCTGACTTCAAGGAGAAGATCTTGAATTGTGCGCCCACTCTACTTGTTTGGTTTACATGAGGTGCTTCGGCAGGTAGATATAAACAGATAGATACATAGGTATACATGCATTTTTAGTGGGAAAAGCATTTATATAGTTCACATACCTGCGCATATTTCGAGTAATATTCTCAATTTTTAGCCTTTTCGAAATTTTGGTAAAGGCTGACCTTTTGAGTTTTGCCTTTTTGTTTATTTATTTCATCTTTTGTGGCCAATTTGTAGAGACGAGCCACTGAGCATTATCAAATCAATGAAATGTCAATATGTTTTGCCATGGCCTTGTGTCTTTAGGAACAATGTCTATTTTTATTTTCATCATGGGTATTCTTGCAGTCTCCATATATTTATATTTTATATTATATAGAGAAGAAAGTTGCTAAGCATTATGATTTTTGCACAACAATTTAACCAATTCAACCAGTGAACTAGTTAATCATTCCTTGAATTGCTGCAGAGAATATTCTGCTCTTAGGTTCTGTATCTAGGCAATAAGCTTGAGGAACAAATCTCGTCTTGATTCAAGTTTTGCAGCCTTCATCTTCAAAATGGGTGAAGAAAGAATTCATGGTAGGACAATCGTAGTTCAATTCACCAGGTCTTGCAATTTTTTGCCTTCATCATAAATCAGAATTCCAAAAAAATAGAGAAAATATGGTCAGGGAATTCACGTTATTAACATAGTATTAGAATTCTGAAAGTTGAGCCTTTTACCATTGTTGGTCAATTAGCATATCGTCTGTCAATCCGAATTGTCTTAGCTCTTCTTCTTTGTGATGCATTAATAAGCTATACCTGTAAAAATATTTTAGATGCGTGTATGAAACTCTTGTTTAAGTACTGGACATAAAGAAAACAAATAAGAGTTGTCATTACCTTCCACCATAACCTTTCTCCATAACAAGAATTCCTCCATTGTTAAAGTTGCAGAGTCCTTCATATTGCTTCACGGTCCATTTATACCATCTCATCAGAAAAACTCGCAGCGTGAGTCCGTGAGACACTATCACCAAGTTCATGTTTGGACTCCGTTCACCGGGTGGCTGAAACCGTCCGATATCTATGTCTGCTTTTAACGTTTCTCTAAATCCTGGTAAATTAATTGTCAAAAATATCAATTTCGTTATCATTTGTATCTTGGAAAACAGATAATGAAGATACTTACCTGTAATTCTGTCATAAACATCAGCTGCAGATTCTCCATTAGGAAACCGATAAAAGAAACGACCATATAATATTCGAAGAGCTTTCTCTACTCGCATCCTCTCTCTATCCTGAAAATTTCCTTTCACGAAAAGTACAAAATAATAATTAATAATCTTTTTTTCACTTAAGAATGTAGAGATTAGTGAAGTTTGATTAGTTTCTAACCAAAATCTTGTTCTCGTAGACGAGGCTCTTCTCTCAAACCAGCAATTCTTTGACGCTCAAATGATCGTGCTAAATTCTGCAATGTTTCGAGTGTTCTTTTGTAAGGTGATACATAGAAATAAACTTTCCAGTCACTTGCTCCATCTTTCTCAATCATTTCTCTAATTCTTTTTCCACATTCTTCAGCTTGTGCTTTCCCTTTCTTTGTTAGTGCAATTTTCGGGTCAGCTACTTTTGTGTAGACACTCTCATCAACATTCCCTTCACTTTCGCCGTGTCGAACTAAGATTATCCGGCGAGGCCTGGGAGGTGGCGACTGTAATGCTTTTTTCAGGGAAATTGAGTTTCCCATTTCAAATATAGTTTCATTTGTATTCCTACAACACTGGACGAAGTTGAAATTAACTATTTGTCGTCCCGGTAACCGGGACGATGATGTTGGGGAGACTGTGAGAGAAAGCAACGCCATTGATACTTAGCAAGAGAATAAGAGAAAGCAGAAAATGATTAAAGGAGTCCTTTTTCAAGTGTAGCATTCTCTGGGATGAATTACATTGCATATAGTCATGTTTGACTGTGGAAACTTGGCAAATTTTAATTGAGTTAGCAAAAAAGGACAAAAACAAGTAATACTGATTGCTATCAAGTGTCGTATGTTTTGCCCATGTGGTCACTGTCCTGTATAGCTACAGTGTTTATATCCATCTGATACCTGTGAATGTTTGTGGTATAAATAGAAAGGGGACCCCTTTGTGTTATTTTGTTATGTTGTGGTGTAAAACTTAGGATAACAGTTAGGTAAACATGTTTGTTTGGTGGTGGTGGTGGTTAGCGTTGTAAATGAGCCGAGCCTGAGCGGCTTGAAGTTTAAAGAGCCAAAAAATGTTAGATTTTAGCTCAAGTTTAATTCAAAAAATTTTAATTCGAAAAACTTTAAACTCGAGCTCGGCTCAAGATTTAATACTCGAATAATCTAAATAAATATTATATATATGTATATATAAAAGCTCGTAAAGCTCAATAAGCTTTTGAATTGAATATCATGAGACTAGAACTCTAACAGCTCGCGAACCGACTTCGCTTATTTACATATTATGTGGTGGCTGTAGCATCAACTGGGACCAAACCACTCTGCCTCTTTTGCATAATTTTGCATATCTAAGCCCAAAAGTGTAGATAGAACCTAAGTAGCGGGCTTTTTTTAATTGGGTCAAATACTGTAATACAAGTCTTGTTAGCAAGAAGTGGGCTGGCAATGAACCATTTCTGTTCAAACCCTAACATCCTTTAATTTCTTTATTCTTTGAATCAAAAGATTAGGTATCAACTTTGCAATTTCTTAGACATGCATACCAAAAACCAAACCAAAAGTTAAATTTTAATTTCATGCTTAATTAGTTGATTTCGGGTAAAAAAAGTGATTAGGGAATGTTTTGTTTCCTTTTTTAGCATAGCCTAAAATTAGGATTAGTTAGAAACCGTACAAATTTATCCACGACTTTATTGATTAACGTTAAGTCTACAAAATGTACGAGTCAAAAAAATTAGTTGAAGAGAAATGAAGTCAACAATGGAAGTCCATAACCATAACCATAGCCCTATAAAGAAGCAGTAGTGATGCAAGAATGCGTTGATCACGCTATATGCTACCACAATAATATAATATATAAGATCCCTAGGGTTTATTATATTATTGTCTATATATTAGAAAGAAAGTCCTCCATATTCTGAGGAAATAACTAGGGTTTCAGCAAAGTTCTAGATTAAGGATTTAATTAATTATGTATTAATAATTATAATGACGATAATTTGGAGGAATACAAGGCAAGAACAGTAGAAGTAATAATAATAGTTGACTAGCATGTATATATATTTTGGAATTAAGACAGAGGGGAATGCCCTACGAGCTAAAGGCACATTCGCTTTCTTTCTTCAAGTGAAAATGACTCTTTTGAGATATTTGGGGAACTGCCATTGACATTCCCACTCTTATATACAGTGATTTGGCTTCAGCTACTATACCAAAATTTATTTATTTTTCATGTGACCAATAAATAATATATCTATGTTTTTAAAAAATGCAACTATATGTATATATTTGGGGGAACTGCCATTGACATTCCCACTCTTTATAATACAAGTGATTTGGCTTCAAGCTACTATAACCAAAATTTATTTATTGTTTTTTCATGTGAACCAATAAATAATAATATCTATGTTTTTAAAAAATGCAACTATATGTATATATATATATATATATAATATATATATATATATATATATAAGGACATTTAAAAAAAAAAAAAAACCTTTGCAAGATGGAAAGTGAAAGTTGGAAAAGCAAGCTGAGAAGTAGTTTCAACTGTCTCTTGTATAAGTCGGTCAATAGAAAATGATATTAATTTCCAACAAGGAACGATATGTGCAAAGGTCGATATCTAGGTGCCCTTATGACCCCCTTATTCTTGGGACAGAGTACTAATCTCCAAAGACTTTGGGGAAAAACAGTAAAAAGCAGCCTTTGAAAATCAAGACAAAGATATTGACAACTACTATACTGTTGCAATATTATGAGAAAGTTCCAATATTAGTAAATTCAATTTAGCTTTCAAACTTTTGTTTTTGGGCTTTGAGGTAAATATTTATTTTCGATTAATTCTTGCTGGCTTTCCACCAATAGGGTTCAGTTTTTCTTCCCACTCTTGATAAGAACTGACGGATGATTTATATATATACATGAAAAGAAGATAACGTACAAGAATGTCAATTCAAACACATCATTAAAGAATTATTATCTATTGGAATTAATTTTCTTTTTCTTTTTTTTACATTTACCCTTAAAATTCTTGATGGGATCTACAAAAAAAAAAAAAAAAAAAAAAAAAAAAAAAAAAAAAAAAAAAAACAAAAAAAAAAAAAAAAAAAAAAAAAAAAAAAAAAAAAAAAAAAATTAGACGAGAAATTCTATAAATGTTAAAATAATTAATAGTGAAGGTTGACGGTAATTTGTTTTACGTATTACTTGTACATGCATTTCCTTTTCCATTAAAAAACAAAAACCCTAAAAATAACCCTATGGTAAAGCAACATTAGTTTATAGAAATTTAAGAAATTAATATATATTAATAAATATACAAATATAGTGTCATTATTAACATATAATCACAAAGCAGTTGCTTTCGTTACATTTTGTCTCTTACAGGAAAAAAAAGATTTTCTTAATCATCCAATGGAAAAGCTGGCAAGACCCTTAAGAAACTTCTTTGTGATTTAATTAATTGATTAATTAATTAATTAATTAATTAACACAATACAAAAAAATACATAAAAGAAAAAAAAGGATTATTATATGACACATACGTGCAAGAATAATTAACGTAATTATATTAAAAATCAAGTCACCAAGTGTGAAGGTTAATTATTATATTGAAAAATGAAGAAAGAAACGTAACATTAGCAAACAAATAATTACATGTTAACAGACAGATCCCACTCGATGCATACAGCCAAAATATTTCTTTCTTTTATGGTTTTTTTGTCATTTGTATTGACTTTACTCCTGTCGGTGACTTCTTCTACGTGTAAGCTAAGTTGAGCCAAATAATTAAATTCTTGAATTTGTATTATTGATATATAAAATTCTATAAATAATAAATTTAGGAACTTAAATATATATTTGATTAATTACTGCTAAAAATATTGATTCATTTGGAGTGAATTAAATCAGAATGAAGAAATTTTTATATGAACTAGACAATTATTAATTTTAGTTGAGGATTAATTGCACCAATTAGATTCTAATTTGTATACGAGCAGTATCCAATTTGACCAGTCATTTGAATATTTAAGCCAAAGTCAAAGTAGTTGGTTAGGGTCTTTTTTATCTATCTAAAGTGGCCCCAAACTTAGAAAACAAAACCTAGTTTTTACTAATTCAATCTACAAAATGCTCTCTACCTCTATATATATTTTTTGAGTTGAAAATTGATCTCTTATTATTATTATTAATTCGTAATTTTAATTAAAGATACATATGTGCAACTAATTCGAAATTGGAAAGTTTAGATCCCTCCCCAAACCCACCAAAATAAATGAAACCAAAAAAAAAAAAAAAAAAAAAAACGTATTTTAAATTAAAGATACATATGTGCAACTAATTCGAAATTGGAAAGTTTAATCCCTCCCAACCCAAGACCAAAAATAAATGAACCAAACAAAAAAAAAAACAAAAAAAATGAAGACCCAAAAAAAAAAAAAAAAAAAAATGAAGACCCACATACCATCTAGAGATGTGGCCTCAAATTCCATGATTTTGACAAGTGAGGACTTGCACTAAATAACATAAATGAAAATAAAGTATTAATTGAAATATCAGAAAAATTATATATATATATAAAAAAAAAAGAAATTTCTAAGCCAACCACACATTATAGTTTGGTTTATATATATATAGACTATGAATTTATCATGCTTGGTTGCTGCTGGTCCACTGTACATTCCATAATCTGTCTCACTGAAGATTATCTAATTTTCATGTTCTCTGAAGGTGACACTTACAGGAGCTCTCATATCTAGTACCTCTTTTGCCTTTCCCTTTTATTTATTTTTTTTTTTTTTTGGTTATATTATTTTTCCTGTACATAAGTTTTTTCTTTCTGGAAAAAGAATAAACAGTTAAAATTGATTATATGATAGTAATATATAATGTTTGGATTATTAATTGGATGATATATAACTGTTTTAATTAAATAATAATAATAATAATAAGAAGAAGAAGAAGAAGAAGAAGAAGAAGAAGAAGAAATGTATGAATGTAGGTGTGGATGAGGACATAAAAAATATTAATGGAGGTGGCAGAGGATGTTCAGTTGAATTAATTAATACTAAGAACAGTGAAGGAAGAAATCAAAAGAAGGAAATCATGTGTAAATATAATGCAGAAAAGATGAAGCACTCAAGTTCTTACTTTTAGATAGAGAGGACCACAAATTTTGGTCTTATTGCCTGTTTTTGCCTTAGGAAGCCATCTCTCTATCACTCTTCTTTCCCACTTTTTTATTAGCTGTATCACCAAAAATGTCATCTTTGCACACTTCATCTCAATCACAATATATATAAAAGAGAGAGATTGTTGAAACTCCTAATCTTTTATAATACCCAATTATTGAGAGGTATTAGTAATTAATTAATAGTTCTAAGATTTAAGTTTATTTGCATATTTGTTTTCATGTTGAACGAAGGTGGTATTTAAATAAACTCTAGATCTCTTAATAATGGTGAATTTGGATTATGAAATCTTAACTTTAATGCTAAAGTTTGTCCGTATATAAAGTTCACTCCCAATAATTCAATCACTAATAACTCTTTATAAATTTTTTAGGAGAGATACAATTATACACATTTACTAAGCTCAAATTGTGAAAATTCAGAATTTTCACAATTTTTTTTTTTAAAAAAAATTGAGTACATAGAAAAAAAGAAGTCAATAACACTTTTTTTTTTTTTTTTTCTGAGTCCAAATAGAAAAAAAGAAGTTCAATAACACTTTTTTTTTTTTTTTTTTTTTTTCCTTCATTTTTTTTTTTTTTTTTCCTTCACAACTACTAAAATAGTCATTAGACTATAATAGTCAAATACTTGAATGTCGACCTCCAAAGATTCATTGATACATCTTGAACGTGTATCAACATTTTTTAAGATTGCATTCATTAATAAGATATTTAACTGCATCACCAAAGTGTTTGTCCGGGAATTAAGCTACCTCAATCTCTGTAAGACTGAAAAGACAAATTTGATATTTGGAAAGTACATTTTGATGAAAGAGCAAAAAAACCTTTACGTTGTACCTGTTATGCTTTAGGTTTGAAATCTCTCGACCATAAAAATTTTCAGCTTGTTAGACCTCCAATAAATACAAGAAAAGATAAATATTAAACTATTAATATTATAAAGATAAAGAAACCTACTTCTAGCATTATAACGAAACAAGATGCAACCAAATAATAATAATTAGTACCAAATAAACAAACACAATACAAAACCTCTTTTCTTTTCTTTTTTTTTTTTTTTAGGGTTTAAGGTATCAAAATCCATTCTTTCACTTTCATTTGATATATAATCTTAATTTTTTTTTTCAAAAAAAAAAAAAAAAAAGATACAATAATTTTAAAGACAGGCTATAAGTTTCTTTTTGTCTGTTAACTGCCCTCAAAAGGTTCAGTGTAAACTTGATCTAGCTAGCAAGATATCCAAACAATTGGATTGATGGATGACATTTTTTATTTTTTGATATAGACGATGCAAAAGCATCATCAATCAAAAACCTTGACAGTCCATTTCAAGAACAAAAATGGGTGAGGATTTTGATGTTAGGGTTTAACTGTTATGAAAACAAAACGAACCAATATTTATTTATTTATTTATTTCCATTCTAAACTTTCAATTTGGACTTACATAAGTGTCACATTACCTATGGTGCCCAAAAATAAAAATTTTCTTTTGTGGGCCGTCTTTATTTGTATTATTAAGCCAATTTGCTTTATCTCATCCCATAAAAGTTGGAATACGAAAGTAACCAATAAAGATAAGGTAAGCATTGAAATTTCACACCTTCATGTCACTATACAAACTTACATCTCATAAAGAATTTTCGCATTTAAATATGGAATCTATTTAAAAATTCAATTTCACATAATATAATTATTTATATATATATATATATACAGTCGCCATTAATAACATAGCAGAAATTTTAAAATATATACATTGACTAATGAGAATTGAAGTCAATATATGTGATCAACAAATGTTGGACCAGATAATTAATAGTTCCTTATTTGATAACAACTACATAGTATTTGTCAATGTGGAAGAATATTTTTACAGTGGATACCTATTTTCAAAAAATTTCCCAAAACAAAAAAAAAAAAAAAAAATTATATATATATATTATATATATATTATACTCATAATTTTTTTCAAAAATTATTTTTCCAAATATTAAAAGATCGCAATTTTTCAACAGTTTAACCAATAGTGCCAAAAACAGTGGGAATCACAATATCAAACAAACAGTTGACAACGTTGATCTTGATGTTATATATACTCATAATTTTTTTCAAAAATTATTTTTCCAAATATTAAAAGATGCAATTTTTCAACAGTTTAACCATAGTTTGCCAAAAACAGTGGAATCACAATATCAAACAATCAGTTGACACGTTTGATCTTGATGTTTGTATACATCAGGTGGGCGCAGTAGCATATATATGAGCCAATAAGAATCAAGAACAAGCACAAGTACAAAAAATATATGAGCTTACAAAACTTATAACCCTAATGTCCCAACATCATTTTTTTATTTTGTACTGTAAAAAGGACACCTTTGTCCAATTAAATTCTCAAGACCCTACACGTCCATCCCAACACTAACAATTCCTTTTAATCCACATACTTGGGGCTCAGCATATTTCGGAAAATGTCGAAAAAATCAAGTCGAGTCGAATTATTCCGGTTTTTTAATTTTTGGCTTTGGTTTCCAATTTCAATCTTATAAATACAACTTGAGCTTCAGTCTTATATCGGTTATAACAATTAATTTCTAATTGAAATCGAACTGCAGAAACGGACCAAACCAATAGATTTGGTTTGGTTTCTAAATTTTACATCGAGACGCAGCTCATCTTAGTTTTCAATTTTTGCAGTTGGATTCGATTTGCTTATCTGAAATCGGCCTTTAAAAAAAAAAGGTGCATAAAACCTACGAAGTGTGGATCTGGCATGCACACAGAGATAGGTAATAGGTTGGTCCATGCAAAATGAATAAGGACCACCCTATGCTATAAATCCCATAGTTACAAGTTTCAAAAACCTTCTCTAAATTGTACTCTGTTTCTATTCAGAACCAGTGTCAACAGTTTCTTTTAACCCCCGTCTTTTGTGGGTGCTAATTGACCTATCCCCAATTATTATTTTTTTATTTTTTATTTTTAGAAAAAATTGAATTTTTTTTTTTTTAAAAAAATATAGAAAACCGTACAATTAGCTTTTTGAGGGTCAGTTAAAAAAGAGCCCATTAACATATAAAATCTAATGAAAGTTACGTAAGGGAAGTATGAGTCCCTCGCTCACTCTCATACAGAGAAGCTGGACTGGAGATGCGTAACATGCGCAGGGGGTGCGTAGGATAAGCAGGAGCAGAGAAAGCACCAAGATTGGTGAGGTAAGCAAGTGTGAGGGCACAGATATAGGGGTAGAGAAGGGCAAGTGATATTTGGCAAGCGGCGGAGAAAGCTTCTCTATAGGACCACCTGCTTTTAACGGACAAAAATTAAAGCTCTCGAAGGTATCTCTTCCCATTCTCATTTTTCGGCGCGTGCTTTCAGTTTTTTTTATACCACAATAATATTTCTTTTTCTTTTTTTTTAATATTCTCTTTTTAAAAATTAAAAGGGACGAGATAGCAGTAAACTTTAATAATATAATTTAAAGAAGTATGACAGTTGATTGATTGAGCATGCAAAGAAATATGAGATTTTGATAGCACGTTAATGAAAATCACAAGAATAATGTAAAGATGAGACGGAATAGTGCGCGTGGAGTGGAAGTTAATAAAAAAAGAAAAAATAATAATAAAGAAAGTGGTCCCCCCAGGGAGAGGAGAAGAGAGATGGGTGGGGAGTACTTTTAATAGAGCAATTAATTAGAAATAGAATTAGATGGAGAAACTATTGGACCACCTCATCGCCTTTTCTCTTCACAGTCCCTTCTTTTGGGAACCCTTTTGGCACTTCCACCCAATCCCAGCATCTATTCTCATTTCTCTCTTCTCTTCCATTTCTTTTATTTATTTATTTATTTATTTATTTTTGGGTAAGTGGCAGTACACAGAACTAGTAGACTAGGAGTCCTAGTACTGCAATTTTTTACATTAGCCCCACCCTCACAGACAGTCACAGACACACCTCACCCTCTATTTTAATCACAGACCTCTTCTTCTCTATAACCCCATCTGAAAAAACCTGCACACAACTCGGGAATGATTTATTGGGATTCGTGTGAATTATAAAAATGGTTTGAGCAGCAATTTTTTAAAACTTTTCATGGTATTTAGGTGCTTTTTACTGTATTCGATCCAACTAATTTTTTTAAATTAAGATAATTTTTTATTTTTTATAAAAATTTATTAAATCACTTAACAGATATCAAAATATATAATTTATTCGAAAAGACCTTTTTATTTTCTCTGATTGGCGTTCTATAGATACTACAGACACTGTTTTTGCTCATCTCTACTGTTCTATAGGATAAAGTATTAGCTTGTAGACTGTGTTCTTTGATGGTGGGGTGGGGGTTTTTTGTCTTTTCCTTTTTGAAAAAAAAAAAATTGTATAATAGTTTACAATGATCATGAGCTTATTAATAAAGGCTACGTGGGTAGATAGAACAGGTCATGTGGCGGCTTGTAGTATGTGTAGCAGGCAAAGGACGATCATAACTTTCTGTTGGGTCTGTGTTACTAGTACTTTGTGAAGCAGGGGAGTTCTGCTTTATTTTATTTTTTTAAAAAAAAATAAAAGATAATTGAATTATTTTAATCACTTGTTAAATAATGTTTTTGGGGATATTTTTTTTTAATTATGATAATCTTTAATTGGTGGGTGTGAAATGATTGAGGGGGTTATATGGTTTTCTTACTAGGAAGTCTATTTTGGATGTATATATAACTTGCTGTATTGACCCACTTGAGAGCTAGAGAGAGAAATTGAAAATTAAAGAAGATGAGAAAAGAGAAATAGAAGAAGAAGCAAGTTTCAAATGATGATCATCGCTATAAGGCGTCATCATCACCTCTATCTGATCTACTTCTATTTCTATTTCTGAGAAATATGTCTGATCTTTTCTTCCATGGCATACCCATGTTTGCTTATTAACAGAAGCTCATCAAACAACTTCATGTCCACTCTTTCTTTCTGCAACTGGTAATTAAAGTCTTTCTTTCTTGTTTTTTTTTCATGCATGAAATAGTCATCTGCTAATAAATTTTCTTGATTGTTCTTTCTTTTTGAATTGTGATATTTAGCTTTGCTTTCAATTGTGTTTTCGGGTTAAGTGGATCCTAATGAGTTTCTAGTTGCAGAATCAAAGCACTTCACCTTTAAAGAAAAGCCAAAGCCAGAAAAGTTTGATGGCTAGAGAAGTGTTTGAAGATAAATCAAGAAACATGGTATCCTCATCATCAACAACAGGTTTTTGTTACTCAGATGTATCAAATAATAATCCAACAATCCAAACCCATATAGGAAACCAGATCCAAGCCTTTGAAACAAATCCAGAAATCTTCAACTTAACAACGGGCATGGAGATGATAGGGTTTTCAAGGAATCTACCGCAACAACAAAGTGAAAGTAACACTTCTGTTTTATGGAAAGGTTTTTTTAACAAACCAACAAGCAACAGTCATTCAATTGGTGGTGGTGGTGGCGGTGGCGGCGGCGGCGGCGCTTCTTCTTCCAAGACAATCAATGAATCCACCAGTGATTTTTATCAACACGACTTCAACAAACAAGATTTTACGAGTAATGGAAATTTAATGGTTGAAGGTGACTCTTCTAGTCCATGGCAAGAACACAGATTACTTGTTGATGATTCTTCTTTAAGATGTGTTTTTCCTTGTGAAGGAAGTGAAAGACCAAGTCAAGGTCTTTCACTTTCTCTTTCGTCAAACAATCCTTCTAGTATCGGATTACAGTCTTTTGAACTCCGAAACACAAGTAATCATCAAAATCAAGATGGTGATAACTCTCAAGAAGAAATGAGGTTTTTGAATTCGACTACTTCAAGAGATGGGTTTTTTGGTAAATCTACCATTAACATTCAACCACAACAAATTATGCAAGATGGGTTTTTAACAAAAGCTTCAAATTTGCATCAACAAGGACAGTTTCATCTTAGGAACTCAAAGTATTTGGGTCCTGCACAAGAACTGTTGAACGAGTTCTGTAGTCTTGGGACAAAGCAAACTGATCAACAAAGGCAGAAGTCTTATAAGAATACTAAACAGTGGGAAGAAGAAAATGGAAGTAGTAGTAGTAATTCTTCAAGAAAACAATCTCTTTACTCTCTTGAATTCTTGGACTTGCAAAAAAGAAAGACAAAGCTGATCTCAATGCTAGAAGAGGTATATATAATATAACCATATATGTTTGATCAAATTTTTTTTTTTATTTCATAAAGGTCCTTTCTTTTTCTGTTCTTTTTTTTTCCACCTAGAGAAGAAAGGGGACTGGACAACAACTTGCTTCTTGATCTTAATTATTAGTTAAAAGAAATTTGAGATTGAAACTTTTGACTTGGTATAGTTGATTAGTTGGGGTCTCCAAATTTGGTTCTTGAACTAATTTAGCGACTTTGGTCCTCTCCATTAATGCCCACATAGTGACAATTCTTGCTTTTCATATTACTTTGAGAAATCTCTCTTTTTTTCTATCTTTCCACTTATCATTTTCTTGGTTTAATGCCTTCTTTTTTCAGGTAGAAAGAAGATACAGGCACTATTGTGATCAAATGAAAGCTGTGGTCTCATCCTTTGAAGCTGTGGCTGGTGCTGGGGCAGCGACAGTGTATTCTGCTTTGGCATCAAAGGCTATGTCAAGACACTTTAGGTGTTTAAGAGATGGGATTGTGACTCAAATCCATGCCACCAAGAAAGCCATGGGAGAGAAAGATCCTGTTGCACCAGGAACCACAAGAGGAGAAACTCCAAGGCTAAGAATTCTTGATCAAACTCTCAGGCAACAAAGGGCTATTCAACAAATGACTATGATGGAAACTCATCCATGGAGACCTCAAAGAGGTCTACCTGAAAGATCTGTTTCTGTTCTTCGAGCTTGGCTTTTTGAGCATTTTCTCCACCCGTAAGTATCTCTATCTTCTCTATCTCTATCTCTTTCTCTTTCTCTTTCTCTTTCTACTTAATTAGGGTCTGACTAGAATTCGAACTTACAATTTCACTGCTATAAAAATTAACGGCTCTAATATTACTGCATAAAAACTGGATTGTTCATTTTTTTTTTTCTCTCTTTCTTGGCTCCAAGTCTATATATAACTATACTACAAAGTAGATTTAGTTAGAGAATCAATGTTTTCTCCAAATTAAACAATGCAAATATCTTGCTAGCTGTTGTGTTCTAGCTAGGACTGTAACTTCACACACACACAGACATACATGTATACATCACTTGGTCTCAACTCAATCATTTAATTTTTTTCTTTAAAAAATAAATGCAACTAATCTTGTTAGTTTCTACCAACCTCCTTTTGGATTCCATATTTCATGTTTGTTATATTATTTCTAATTACCCTTTCCATATTTATATTTCCTCGAGTGGATTTGATTCTATTTCATAGGGCCCATCTTTCTCTATCTCTTTCTTCTTTCTCTATCTCTTTCTATGGACATATATATACATATACACTACTATGTATGTGTCTAATGGTAAACCTTTTTTGCAGGTACCCAAGTGATGTTGATAAACATATCTTAGCCCGTCAAACTGGTCTTTCAAGAAGCCAGGCATGTCTCAATAGCTTATTCTGTTCATACATGAATTAATTTATATTATCAATGTGTAATATATCTTCTTAGGATCCATAATTTTAATATATAAACATATTATATAATAATCGCACTATAATATAAAATTAATTAATTATTTCGACACTATACCCTTTTGTTGTTTACATGTGATTGAACAGGTATCCAATTGGTTCATTAATGCAAGAGTAAGGCTTTGGAAACCAATGGTGGAAGAAATGTACTTAGAAGAAACAAAAGAGCAAGACAACAACTTGGCTTCCCCAGATGGAATTACTGAGCTTGAAGAAAATATCAATGGCAGGCCAAGTCAGAATCTTTCCTCAACAGATCAAAAACCAACACCTGATCAACTCATTCGAATCGACTCCGAATGCCTTTCTTCCATTATATCTAACCCTGATAAAAATGACACTTCAAAAACCAATAAATCTTTCCAAACCCACCATCTTCATACCCAGCAGCAGAATTTTGGAGCTTTTGGTGCAGTGGAACTAGACTTTTCATCTTATAATCACCAAAACGCGCCGGGTGGGGTTTCTTACGGAAATGATACTTCTGCTAATCAAAACTTCAACAATGGTGGTGGTGTGTCATTGACATTAGGGTTACAACAGCATGGAGGGAGTGGTGTGAGTTTAGCATTTTCTCCTGCATCTCAAAGCTCTCTCTTTTACCCTAGAGACCATATTGATGACTGCCAGCAAGTTCAGTACTCACTTCTAGATGGAGAAGGACAGAATTTGCCTTACAGGAATTTGATGGGAGCTCAGTTGCTGCATGACTTGGCTGGTTAAAATGGAATTGCTAAATTATTACCGGAAATAGTTGGGTTCGCCGGAGTTCTTGCCAAAGGATGGTGATGGTTGATGATAAAATAGTTTTATTAGGCATAGATAAAATACTCCATACATAATATTTATACATAAAGCTATAGTTAATTGGTTTCAGAAAAAAAATATATATATTGCTATGGAATAGTTTTTGCATCTCTTTTTATTTTTATTTTTTTTTTCCATTGGAAAGAACATATTTTTATTTACTGTTAGGCAAATATATTTGGATTGGAAGTGATTGATGCAAGATTATACAAATATTTCTTTCCTCTTATAAGCAGAAAGAAACTATTTGGCAAAGAATTATCCTGTTTTATTTGTCAATTAATATATTTAGGTAAGTTTCTCATCTTTTTGTTATTTCCAAAAGCTAAGTGATTGAACCGTTTGTGGCTCTTGTTTTCAGTTCAGACATTTATGTTTTTCTTTCTCAAAAGATTCATCAACATATATAGTCTGGTTGGTCTTCTCACACGTAAGAAGTGAAAGATTTTGAGTTCAAGTCACAAGAGTTTACATCCATTTAGTGATCAATGAGCCGTTAGACTTCCCAATGAATTAAAAAAAAAAATCTATATCTAGATTTTTTTTTTTATATATAAAGACGAAAAACAAAAAAAACAATTTAATAAGTTATTAGCAAAACAATATGGTCGGGACCTTGGTATTGGAGATTAAGACAATTCCTAGAAACAAATAAGAAAATATCATATTCATGTTGAGAAGAGTGGTCCCTGTTAATTCATCTTCTTTAAAAGATGATGATATTTCATTTCATGCCCATAAAAATTGCCTACTTTACGATTTGTCAACTTTGGCATTGTTTATGCTACTGCTTTTCATGATGGAAAGCTACCTTTTTAGATCAATATTAATATGAGTTTAAGGTGAAATTAAATTTACCATTCTAGTAATGTTTTTAAAATTGAATCAGACCACTTGATCCAACCAGCTAATAGTTGATTCTGGTATGATTTTATTTTATTTTATTATTTTTTTTTTTTTTTGGGGGGGGGTTTTTTTTGGGGGGGGAGGGGGGTGAGAAGGAGTTGGCACTAGCTTTGCCAATTTTGAAGGTGGAACATATGCAAAAGCGTTGTCTCCTGTCTTGCTCTTTTGTTTTTATTTAAATTTATTTTTTTCATTTTCTTTAGAGACAAAATTGGGCAATACCAACGGTAAGTAGTAATAATATACCGACTTCTTTCCTTTTCCTACATAAATTCACGTTAGCAAGATTTAAATAGCAAATAAAAGGGACGGATTTTTGTTGTTCGAATAACCAATAGAATTTGTTTTATCGATATAGTTATGCTATTTAATGTACTATATTATTGATTCCAATCGGAAAAGATAAGATGGGGGGGGGTGGGGGGTGAGAAAGAGTTGGCACTAGCTTTGCCATTTTGAAGGTGACATATGAAAAAGCGTTGTTCTTCTTGTCTTTGTTTTTATTTATTTATTTTTTTTTTCTTAGAGACAAAAATTGGGCAACCAAGCGTAGTATAATAATATACCGAATTTCTTTTCTTTTCCTACATAAATTCACGTTAGCAGATTTATAGCATAAAAGGACGGATTTTTTGTTGTTCGAATAACCAATAGAATTTGTTTTCGATATAGTATCTATTTATGTACTTATTATTATTCCAATCGGAAAAGATAAGATTTTCTTAATCCGTGTAGATAAAGTTCACTTAAACATGTAATCTGCTTTTATTATGTAATTCAACCGTTTGTATGAAATCTATTTACTATTTCTTGGATTTGTTCTTATTATTAGTTACCTTGAGTTTTATTTTATTTTATTTTTGAGGTTAATCTGATTTTAATTAGGGTTTAAGAAAGTCACCAAACAGTACCGTGTGAAACTTCAGGTTAGGGTTTAGTTTATGACGGATTCAATTTCCAATTTGGGCATTAGAGGGATATATTTGGGCTTTTTTATGATATTGGGTTACTTGTGTTTGGGTCTCTCGTGAGCTTGTTGAAGATGATTTAGCTTTCTAATCAAACTGCAGGTAGTCTGTTGTCGTTTTCTTTGGAACGATTAGCTACTTAAAACGGCAGGAAATCTATTTCGTTATTTTGTTGTCATTATATTTAATCTCCTGGTTAAAATTTTCAAATCGAATCAAAAATTTTTTCATTAAATACAAACTATAATAAATGCCTAAATCAAAACCTGTTGGCAAAGATGGATTATTAATTTCCTTTTCTTTTTATAAAATGGTAGTTCTTTGGGCAGCATGTTTCATGTTTGGGAGCACTTTTTTTCTCCTATCCATCTTCTATGTAGAAGTAGTTTGGACTGGGCCTAGGAAATTTAATTATTGGACTGGACTGCCCCTATGTATACAGGTGAAAAGACGATAATTGAAATTGAAGGAGCAATAAATGATTCGTGTAAAGGCAATATGGGCCGAGTATGACACAATTGACCTTATTAAATTGTAAGAACACAGTTTATTATGTAGGGACAATTGACCTTCCTATCGTATCAATTTAACCCATCGACTGTATACGCACGTACCATATTAAAAACATATGATTTCTTCCTACTATATATATATATTTTTTAAAACATTTTCATGCTTTTTGCACCGACACTTTGCTATTTTAATATTTTCAATCATTTTATTATTATTTTTTTAAAATAGTATTTTTTTAGTAATGAGGGGAATCAATTAGCCATTAAAAAGAAGTGTCAAACACAATCCAACAACTACTAATTTTATTACTCCATTCACTATCCCTTTAGGCAATTGTTATCTTCTCTGGTAATCATTAATAATTAAATTAATTAAATGGGTCTATCTGGAGTCTTCTTATTCTAATTGAACCCACGTCTTCATTAATTTTTTAATAAATAAATAAATAATAATAATAATAATTGTTAACGTGGAACTTAAGCAAAATGCCATATACTGAAAAAGAGAGAATTGAGGCACATGGTTTCCCTTCCCTGCCCTGCCATAGATTCACTACATAGATCTTCCGTTCAGAATCAGAAAAAAATATGCCACTATTAGCTAAATAATAAATAACTGCAAAGTCTAGAACATTTATACTACATCTTTTATACTTCAACAATTTAACATATTTCTTTTCTTTCTTTCTCTTTTTGGCTGGTCAGACTCTACTCTGGGGTACATGTGCAAAATTGGCAACATGAGAAATCAATTAAAGAACTAAGAATTTGAGATTGAGAAGAAGAAGAAGAAAAAGGAGAAGAAGATACCATCCTAATGCTGTTCCGATTATCACTAAATTTCACTGACCTCACCTTCCCTACATATACCCACATCAATTGTAATAGTCTTTTTGTTATTTCGGTCCATATTCATCACCCTGCAACAGTTTCTTCTTGGAGACTGCCCAATACACATCCACAAACAAAGCATGTTAACTCCTAAGCAGAATTGCAAATTACAAGATGCAAAAACCAAGATGAGTAGTTCAAGAATCACTTACCCTGTCCCATAAATGCCGGTCAGGCTTCTTTTTAACCACAATCATGTCAAGATTAGTAGGATCAGCCATTTTCCACTTGCATACAGGGTGAGGAACACGATGCCTGGAGTACTCACTCACTGTTGTATTCAATGTAGAATCAAACCTTGCTTTTGTCATGTAGAAAACAAAGGGTTTCTGGCAAGGGTTTCGGCTAACTGGACGAGTGTTAAATGCATATGCTGTGTAATCAGCTCTTCTGTACCAATTCAAAAATGTTCTTGAAGGCATTTCTATTTCGCGGGGTGAAAAAACTCCCCGGAAAATTTGAACTGCAAAGCCCCAAGAAACAGAAATAGTCCATCTCTTAGATTTATCATAGCAGATGGATTGTTGCATTAGTCCTGCCGAGTCCAGCTTCATAGGTACCATTAGCCGCTTCAGTGCTTGAACTCGAGTTGCATTAGGGAAAATGGGTTCAACCACATCAAGGTGATGCAGTGAGACCAAGGGTGTAACAGGGTGTGCAGCAAGGAGTCCAAACAGGTTTCCATACACATCATACTGATTGTCAAAAAGAATAGTTAGGAACTTACAATCAACACTTCACAACTCATGAAATTACTAGAATGAAATTTACAGCTCAATAACCAATAAGCTTTGACTCAGTAGCCTTAGAAATTTAAATTCTTTCTCACAACTGTGAGATTGCATGTTCAAATTGGTTCCCAACATGAACCATTCTCTAATTGAAACAATCATTTTATCTTGACTTTAACCACTTATACAATAAGTGCACAAATACAATAAGTGCACAAATAGAATGCCAATCTCACGTAACCTGATTGATCACTCAACAAAATTAATCCCTCCCCATCCACCAAATATTGGTAGATGCACAAAGCAGGCCCATACTATAGCTCTATGCAGGGCAACCCACTGCTGTCGAAATTATCTAAAATTCTTAAGTTCCTAACCAATGCAATTGCAAAGCAAAGTATAGATTGATTAAGGTTTGGCATCAATAAATTTTAACCTTCTACATATCACAACGCAACAATAAATTTTAACCTCCCACATATCACAAGATGACCTAGTAGTGTCACAGGTGTTTTTCCATTAAAGAGCATATTATATTTTATCTATGGAGGCAATGCATGCCAAATTGCCAATAATGCACTTCATAATGAAATCAGATACCCCTGTTTAAAAAACCAAATCCTACAAGGATTCAATTTCTCATAATTTTATCTGTCAAATTTCATGTTTTGAAATGAGTAATGAGATATATGTAGAAAAATATATAATTTTGAAGTAATGAAATTCACGACGTTTCAATTTTAATATTGCAAGAATTACACTTATGTGAACTAGCCTCATAATCAAATTATATGAATATCATTATTATAATTTACATTTAATCACTTAATAATATATATGGAGTTCGGAATAATTCTTCGAGAAAAATTCAATTCAATTCTTCAATAAAATGGAATTGAAATATCCCTTAGGAGCTCTTCCAAAGCTAATCCCACATAGGCTCCGGTTGGAATTTGATCAAGGAGCGTGATTTACACGCAATAAGATACTCGTGTCAGGTGTAAACGGAATCACGTACAAAGTATAGCTACAACACGTGGGTCCCAATCCGCGACACCTATAAATAAACGGACAAACATTGAGCTAATCACCCGCTTGCGTTTGGACTAAAACCCTAACCCTCAATACCGTGAGTTTACGCACCAATCTTACCGTCTACGATAGTACCGAGACGCGATTACGCGTCTCGCCTGAAATTGCCCAAGACAGAAAATCCCCATATCAGGAAATATAACCAGAAGAGTTAATAAGCCTAATCCAGTTCATTAACAGACTGACAAATTGCACTAATTACTCACTTGACACCCCATTCCAGCAATTGAATGCAAATCAAAACTTCTACTGCTACAAAATACATCGGACGAAATTCGGCGATATGACTAAGAAAAACAAAAGAATCATCTAGATTAGGCGTCGATAGCTGTCAACAACTAAGGTAATCGAGATAGCTAAAAAATAGCAAAATCAAAACAGAAAAAAACAGAAATTAGGAGGAAAAAAAAAAAGAAAAACCAGAAAAACAAACCTGGTGAAAACCGGTTTCCTTAGTGAGTGGTACTCCGAGCTCGGCCATACAAGCCTGCATTCTATCATCGGATCCGTACAGTCCAGGGTATCTCTGTATACACCTATCTTGCATTTTAACAAGCGCTTTTGCTAATGGGTAGCTTATGGCAAACCCACCGCCACCATATGCCATTCCGTAAGAGAAATAGATGTTTTGCAAATGGGATTCCGATAAACTCCCTATATAATAGAACTGGTTATGGTCATACTTCCTCAAAACTCTAACCAGATTATCCGTTATAAAAACAGTGTCGTCGTCTCCCATCACGAACCACCGCACATTGTCGAGACCCAGACGCAAAGTTTCGGATACGATCCGAGAGATCCGGATCGCCGACCGGTGACCTTGCCGGTTCTTATATGCGAAACGGGAAGTATCACCGGAAATTTTAACCGGAGGCAACCCGTCTCCTTGTCGGGTCTTGACAGAATCATCTAACCACACAATGCCTCGCATTCCCTGACTCTTATTGAACCAAATCTTGATGTAATTTTGTCTCTGCTGCCATAGCTTCGCCGACGCAGCGATGCCAAAAACTACGTGTCGTATCTCCGTAGGTTGATCGGTTTCTTGATTACCTCTCCGGGGAATCGTTACCGTGTGATTTTGAATCAAGGACTGAGAACCATTAGAGGCCAAAGAGAGATGATGATGGGTAGAGAAAGGCTCATGGTCGCAGGCGCGTGAGGTGGCGACTAGTTTGAGAGTATAAACAACATAGGTAAGTGAAACAAATAGGATTAACCATACCATGAGTTTTGGAAGGATTCTAGTCTGTGATCCGGTACCAGAAATCGGGTTTCCAGATGGGCTCCTCATCTGATCCCAGATTATCTTCTCAGAATCTTTTGTGGACACTTTCATTTTTCTCTATTACTATTTTCTTTCAAAGGCTTCTTATAGTAATAGCTACAAAAATGTGAGTGGAGAGAAATTAGATTTTGGAGAATCTAGATGAATGTTTCTGAATTTAGAAGAAAAGAATGGTGCATGTCTCGATTGGGGTGAGAAAATGGAAAACATGAATTTAACCTGTGAAGGTTGCAAAAAAATCAAAAACCCACAAAGAGGAAATGAGAGAAAATGAGGGAAAATGCAAGGGATTGAAGGAAAATTTATTGGGTAGCGGGAGATGGGGAGTCAAGGTAAAGAGAAAAGGGTGTTGCAGTGAAAGTGAGAGAGCAGAGCATGCATAGCTGCCAGGTTGCACACTCTCTCCTAGTATTGTTGCTCCAGTGAGAGATGAATTATTATGCTTGAATATTTTTTTTAAAAGAAAAATAAAAAATAAATCTTCTTCTTGGAGTAAAAATAAGGTGTAATTACATGAAAGATTGAAGCGCCTGATTGTACACGTGTCAAGAGGATGGATGGTATGATTGATTGAGTCAGGGATTGGTCCACAAATATCGTAGGTGACCCACTTGTGATACAGGAGCCCTAAAAGTCCAAGTTTCTCGTGGCATCAAATAAATGGCAGTCGATTCTATTTTTACTATAAAGAGGCCTTATGTGAACCAGCGGCTTGATATAACTGTACTTAAGTAAGGAGTATTTCATTCGTATATGTGATTTTATACGCTGAATCAATCAAAAAATAGGTTTTCAAAAAAAAAAAAAAATATGAATATTTTATAATTTTTTCATCTTTTATTTAAATCCAAATATTACTGTGATTGGTTTAATATTTAGGTAGACTCGTATCTGTACCGTGCCGCCGGTGGGGTTACGTATTTTTCTATAACATTAAAATAAAAAATGAAAGAAAAATAATAAAAGTAAATAGCATTCCCTTATTATTTTATTTTCTACTATATTAAATTAAAATAAATAATAGCATAAAATTTCGCTAAGTTACTAACTCAATAGAGTTTATTATTATTATTATTATTATTATTATCCAATAGTACAATTTAAAAATTGATTAAGTTTGGAGTTGTTAAACTGCTGAAAAACAACTAACCATGGTTAGGTTTTGTTTAGTTTTTAAGAAAAATTACTAAAACAGAAAATAAAATTAATCTAAAATGTAAAAATCAGCACAAAAATTAGTTAATCAATCAATACCACTATTCATTTTCAGTAATTACATAACAACGGTACATCTTTTCTGCTACAAACATATCAACTATAATTTCCATAGGTTACATGTTAATTACAATTTTTCCAATATGAAAATATTCAACAATAAATTAGAAAATGACATTCTTATAGGCTATAGCTGCAAAAATATTCATAAGCGTATTAACTGCTGATATTTTTAATTTTTGTTACTGCAAAACAAGCATTTAAAAAATTAATTTTCATTACCATAATCAAGAAAAAAAATTATTTTCAGTAATTAATATAAATGGAAGGTAAAAAGTGTTTTACAACGAATTATAACATTTATGAAATTTCCTATTTCATTGAAAAATAAGATTCATGCATCTAAAAATATTATTAGATTAAAATTAAGTGGTTTAGTAAATTATATAATTAATAAAAAAAACGGCGGAATTGAAGTTATGATACAATTTATCAATTTCAGTGAAATTTATTTTTTTCTAAACAAAATAAAAAATCTCATAAATCAAAGTTAAATTTTATCTTTCAAATTTCATAATCAAACAAATTAAAAAAAAAAAAAACAAACTTTTTTCTTTTTTTGGAGTAAAGGTTCCTTTTTCATTATTATTAACTTTTTTTTTATGTCTGGCTTTAGTGTTGACATATTCTTTTTTTATATGGTAAAATTAGTTAGAAAAAATGTCAAAAATGAGTTAGAAAAAATGTCAAAAATAGTTAGGAAAAGGTATTATTATCTTTTGATGTATTACGTTTGATCTTAAACGCCAAGTCTAAGACTAAGAATCTTAGAAAAATAAAATTTATTTCCTACATTTTGAATAAATTGCAAAAAGTTTTAAGGGATATTCTGTTATAAAAATGGAAAAATAATTATTTACACTCAATATTCATGTCTACCCTATTCATCCACAACTAAAATCTGATACGTAAGAAAAACAATTAAAATTTAGTATTTATCTTTTTTAAAAAAATATATATAAATACTTTCATTTGTCAAAATAATTATATATAAGTATTTCTCATAAAAACTGATTTATTTCTCACAACTTGTAATAAAAATCATTGGTGCTCTAATTTTAGAAATTTTATTTTTACTATTTTTTAGATAGTTTCTGCTCAAATGTAGCTTGAGATATTTACATTTCAACTTTTAACTTAAATACGATTTTTCAAATTAATATTGGTTTTACTTATATTAGAACTTTTCTTTTTTTTATTGAAAAATGACAATCAAGAGTCTCATATTTGCAAATTTTCTCTAAAAAACAAATTAAAAGATGAATGTATGAATAAAAAAAAAGACAAAAAGATTAGCATATGTGACATGTGCGCGGGAAAAAAATATTAAATAACCAATTCTAATTTGTGATTAAAAAAAATTGAAAAATTAGCATATAAGACATTTTTATGAGATAGACTAATTAAACAAATAAGAAACTTTTTTTTTTTTTTTTTTTTTAGATAGTTTCCTGCTCAAATGTATGCTTGAGATTTACATTTTCAACTTTTAACTATAATACGATTTTTTCAAATTTATATTGGTTTTACTTATCATTAAGAACTTTTTCCTTTTTTTTTTATATGAAAAATGACAATCAAGAGTTCCTCATAATTTGGCCAAATTTTCTCTAAAAAACAAAATTAAAAAGATGATGTAATGAAATAATTAAAAAGACAAATAAGATTAGCATATGTGACATATGATGCGCCGGGAAAAAAAATCTTAAAATATAACCAATTCTAATTTGTGATTAAAAAAAATTGAAAAATTGCATATAAGACATTTTTAATGAACGACTAGACTAATTAAACCAAATACAGAAACTTTTTTTTTTTTTTTTTTTTGCAGTACATAGAAACTAATTTTGTTTATTATTTATAATTAAACGCAAATTCTAATTCAAGTCAGATTTTCAGCGTAGTATACTCGTTTTTTTTTTTTTTTTTTTTGCAGTATAGAAACTAATTTGTTAATTTATAATTAAAACGCAAATTCTAATTCAACGTCTAGAAAATTTATCAGCGTATATACTCGTTCTCATAACAGCAAGTCCCGAGTAGAATGATTCTCTATAACTATTTTACTTCTAATCCTTAATTAAAGTTTCAAAATTAATAATAATTCCACAAAATTTATTATTTTTTTATATCTCTTTTTATAATTCAATGTTAGTTTACCTACTTGGGCATGATGAATATGAGAAAAATTGGAAATAATAATTAGGGCCCTGCTGTCACTTGTGCTTTTTAAAAATATTTTGTTCCATCGAGGTTTTATCAATTCAAAATCGATCTCGTACAGGTTCAATTACAATAGTTTCTGTAAAAATCTATAGAATTTCGGTTGGTTTCATGAATAAATTTAATTTTAATTTTATTTTATATTTCAAAACTGAAATTAATCAATTTGATTTTATCAGATTCAACTATCAAAATTTAATTGGCTTAACTCATATGCACTGCCCCCAGCCCAGACCCCAGTATTTCTTTTCAATCAAAAGGGGGAGGAAATAACCCGACAAGAAGAAGCTGTCAACAACTAACTTCTTCAACTAGAAATTTTTGTTGTAACCCACTTGAAATTACATATATATTGTGGAAAAAATGCTTGTATAAGCTAACTTCTGAAAGCACTATCAAGTCTTTTTTGTTTCTATATAACAAAAATTAATCAATATATTTGCTAAACAAAACTTAATAAGTACTTAGTTCTCCTAAAACTAAAAATTAATTGATTAATTACTATAAATCACACATGCCGACACATAAGAGAATAACGTATTCATATTGCCACTGGTACTTGCGTGCCTACCGAAACTTGACATGTGGACGTGTGCCAATTAAACTGCCAAAACATATTTTTGAAGGCTGTGACCGTGACTCTGACATGTTTGGTAAATTTCAATAAATGTAAGTCTGGCTCGAGTTGAACTTTGTCGGTTACGATGGACCTCTTAATTTGCAATTTTGGATTTTTTTTTTTAAATTGCAAGAAAAAATGAGAGTTATACTTCTTATCGATTTATTAGTATATATAATTTGATTTGATATTTTTTTTATGTAGTATGTTAGTTCAAAGTTCGTCTGCATTATATAAATTCACATATTTTTATATCGTTAAATGTATAAATATATATTTTTACTTTATAAAAAAAATATTGTGGTACCTCAAATTTTACATGAGATTTATTTATTTATAAAATGAATTTTGATAACATTATATATCTTTACAGCAATAATAATGGTTTTTTTTATATTTTGATTTTTATTTATAAAATATTAATTTGATGTATGGTTATTATAATTTGTTAAACAATCATTTTTACTTTTTTTAACTGTATATTACATATTTAAAAAAAATGATTAATTTTACAAAAATATTTTATAAATTAAAATGTTTCATCGGTATAATTTTAATAGATAGAAATATTTAATAAATTAATGGAGCCTGAGATTTTTTGGATAAAATCAAAAATATATTTTAAAATCTATTTATGGATTTAGCCATTTGTATATATACATCATATGTATTATAGACATTAGAAGAAAACAAAATTGTCTTTCTACCAAAATCACTATTTGTAATTTATTCGTCTTATGATTATCCGTAAAATATTTATTTATTTTAGAAGACTACAAAACTACAAATTGATAATTTTATAATTGATTTCAGCTATAACAATAAATAGAAAAAGTAAAAAAAAAAAAAAAAAAGAAATTCTTTGCTTATTTCTGATTCTACAGCTACAAAAAAAAAAAAAAAAAAAGGTTCAAATTCTATTGCCTTATTTCTGATTCTACAGCTACTTAACACCGTCAATCGGAGTTATCAAGAACTTCAATGGGAACACAAATTCTATTGTTGAGAAATGCAATTATTGACAGGTAAGAAATTTTTATGTCTCGTAGTTGAAGAAAAATTAATCAATATAGAAAAAAATAAAGCGATATCATAATTTTTTAAATTCCATCATTAAATAAAAAATCAATTATAAAATTGATTTCAGCTATAAAAACTTCACTTAACAAAAAAAAAAAAACTCATGTCACTCTTCTCTTTAATTTTCATGACCGTCTCTAGTTTCAAGCAATTCCTAAGTCCTGACAAATACGTGCGACCTAAACCAGCGGTTGTACACCGACAAGTCTTGAAGTCTTACATAGAAAGAAGTCTCAGGGACAGACTACCAAGTTAGGCCCAATGGGCCAACCAGTAAATACAAAATAACGTAACTCACCGTCACCAAAACCGAACCAGAGCCCAAATATGGCAGCCGAGAGCTGCATGAAAACCGCAAACAATTGCCACAACTTTGCAACTCCTTTTTGAGTTTCCCGCGCTGTTCATGACTGGTTCAGTCTGGTTGGACGCTTTAAACTTTATGGGAACCATTCAATTCAATTCAATTCAATGCATGGATGAAGAGATTAAGAGTAGCTCAGACTCACTTTTCTCAAATCAAGACATGCATCTCTCAAAATTATTTCCCACAAGCTCTAAAACTCTCAATCTCGTTCTCTCCTCTCCTCACTTATCAGACCTACGCTCTCTTCATTAAATCAGGAGACTCTCTTGATCCTTATCTCTCCACTGCTCTCATTTCTCGCTTCTGCAAAATCAATGATTTCTCTCGAGCTCTCAGTTTCCTTTTGGATACCCAGAACCCAGATGTAATCACCTACAACGCTCTCATTTCTGGTGTTGCCAGGTTTAGCCAGCCTGAATTTGTTTTTGAGCTATTTAATGAGTTAAGGCATCTGGGTTTGGTCCCTGATGTCTTTACTTTGAGTTCTTTGATCAAGGGGTGCGAGAGTTTCAGAGAAAATGTGATTGCACACGGGGTTTGTGTGAGGCTAGGTTTTGAGTCTAGAGCGTTTATTGTTAGTGGGTTGATTGAGAATTATGCAAAAAATGGGGATGTGGGGTCAGCTGAGAGGTGTTTTCAGGAGTGTTTTGGTGTGGATAACGTGGTTTACACTGCAATGGTTTGTGGGCATGTATGGAACGGAGAGTTTGAAAGGGGAAAAAGGGGTTTTGTGGAAATGAGGGGTTTCGGGTTAGAATTGAATGAGTTTAGCTTAAGTGGGGTACTTGGTGCTTTGTTTGATGTTAGAGAAGGGGAACAGATTCATGGATTTGCTGTCAAAATGGGTTTTCTATATTGTTCAATGTATCTGAGTAATGCTATGATGGGTATGTACTCGAAGTGCGGAAGTAAAGTCGACGCTATTAAGATGTTTGATGAAATTCCTGAACCAGATGTTGTATCTTGGACTGAGAGGATAGGGGCTGCTGTTGATGGTGAGGAAGCGCTGGAATGTTTTAGAATTTTGCAATCTATAGGCTTACATATTAATGAGTATACTTTGATCAATGTTTTGTCTGCCATTGGAGGAGTGAAGTTCTTGAAAGCTGGGCAGCAACTTCAAGCACTTTGCCATAAGACAGGGTATTTGCAGGTGGTTTCTGTTGGCAATGCATTGGTGTCTATGTACGGGAAGTGTGGGCAAGTTCATGACGCTAGGCACTTATTCGCCAATATGATTTCTCGAGATTCTGTTTCTTGGAATTCTCTGATTGCTGCATGTTCTGAGAATGGATTTTTTTGCGAGGCTCTAGAGGTGTTCTGTCATATGCGTGATCTTGCCTTACAGCCTACCATATATACTCTTGCTAGCATTCTTGAAACAGTTTCCAACTCAAATTGTGTAAGGAAGGGGATGCAAATCCATTCACATATGATTAAATGTGGATTCCTTTTAGATGATTCCATGGTTTCTAGCTTGATAACGACATATGGGAGATGCAATTGTATGGATGAGTCAAAAAAGTTATTTGCTGAAATTAGTGATGTCAGCTTGGTACATTTGAATGCAATGATGACCAATTTGGTTCACAGTGGGTGTTATACTGATGCTTTGCAGTTGTTTCAAGAGACATGCAGATCATGCCTTGAAGTGGATGGAAAAACTTTCAGTGTTGTGCTAAAAGCCTGTGGTGCTATGACAGATATGGAACAAGGGAGAACAATTCATTCTTTATTACTAAAATCTGGACTTTTTCAGGATAGATTTGTTGAAAGTTCTCTAATTGACATCTATTGTAAATGTGGAAATATAGGAGATGCAGAGAAAGCATTCAGCAGTATGTCTACAGACAATTTAGCTGCTTGGAATGCCATGATGATGGGATATGCACAACATGGTTGTTGTCGAGAAGTTTTCAAGAGTTTTGATGAAATGCTCAAATTTGGAGTAGAACCTGATGAGATAACTTATCTCAGTATTCTTATTGCATGCTGTCATGCTGGGCTAGTGAAACAAGCACATTATTACTTAAAATCTATGTCTGAACTTCATGGAATTATCCCATGCATAGAACATTATGCCTGCATGGTTGATATGCTTGGTCGAGTGGGACTTCTTGAAGATGCAAAGGAGATGATAGATCATATGCCCATTCAACCTGACATTCATTTATGGCAAATTCTTCTTTCAGCATGCAACATCCACAGACATGTTGACTTGGGTGGACTTGCAGCTAGTAAACTTCTGGAGCTGCAACCTGAAAATGAATCTGTTTACATTCTTCTATCAAATCTGTATGCTTCTGCTGGCATGTGGAATGTTGTTGGAAAATTGAGAAAAGAGATGAAAGAAAAAGTACTACGCAAAGAACCCGGTTCTAGCTGGATTCAAGTAGGAGGAACAATCCATAACTTTTTTGTCGATGACATCTCACATCCTCAAAACAAAGAAATTTACATGGAGTTGGGAAGGCTATACGGGCAAATGTTAGCTTTGCTGGAGTTGAAAGAAAATGGTGGTTTTCTATCGATCTATGCATTGTGAAGCATACAAAATCTTTTCTTAATTTCTATTAAAACTAAAAGTTGTCTATCCATTTGCTTACTTCAATGGTCCTTGAGCCTTAGACTCTTGATAATTTATCTAATCAGGTTTGCTATAATCCATTCAGTTATAACTTCTATTTCATTTGGTATCAAACTATCAATTATAACCTTTAAGAATCACCATTGACAGGTAGGACGACATTGTTGGAGGAACAGTTCATCTAATATTACATGACAGGGTGAGTAGACATCATGTGGGGATAGAGCCACTGTTGAGTTAATCAGCAGTGACTTTATAACAATACGAGCATAAAGGTGTCAAATGACTTGTGCTTGTATGTACACCTATTATGTTTGACAATTGGGTTTCTATTTGATGCCATCTCATAGCATTCCAAGAATTTACAGCACAATATTTGTTGTTGTAGCTGATGAACATTATCTCGATGAAGTGGCAAATTGGATGGTTTTGATGTTGAATTGTGGCATTCATGTAAGACTAACATGATAACTTTTGTTGTGAATTTTGTGAACTTTGCTTTTGATAGCTAAATACTACATCTTCAAATTATTATTTCCAACTGGACTAATAAAAACCAATATATATATATATATATATATAGGGGGAAAAAGATGAAGACAAAACACTAAATACATTATGTTTAGGAATTAGGATCATATATATATAGGGGGGAAAAGATGAAGACAAAACACTAAATACATTTAGGAATATATATATTATAGCGGGGGAAAAGATGAAGACAAACACTAATACATTTATGTTTAGGATACATTATGTTTAGGAATTAGGATCATATATATATAGGGGGGAAAAGATGAAGACAAAACACTAAATACATTATGTTTAGGAATTAGGATCATACACTGTCCATTACTACATCAATAATTTTTATCATTATGATCCCTCTCTCAGGTAGTTCTTCCTGATAGAGTGGTGGTGATGTGAAGAGGCCCTAGATAGAACAGAAACAATGGAGTGAAAAGCATTTGCTGCTATCTTTGACTTGATCTGCCCTCGCTTTGGAAGTGGCCGTGTGCTTGTGAAATTTTTGCTAAATGCAGGAGTTGGAATGTCTCTGACCTTGCTGTTCATGATGCCAATCAAGGTTTGCTCAACTTTTTTCTTCAAAGGACCTTCTGTTTCGATAATTGTGGATATATGCAATTGCATTGCTGTGATTGGAGTATATATAGTGAAGCAATACCTCAGTATGATACCAGGGGCTGGGAATGATTAATCTGGTGATGTGAAATTGCGAATTAAAAACTTTTGTTAGAGTTAAGGAGTTGGGGAGGCATGCCAGCTAGTTTATTTGGCTGTATAAGATTCTTTTTAGCTAAACTTGAGACAAGTTGAATTCATAGCATGATTTGGTGAGTGATTGACTGAATAAATAAACACATAAATGATCCATAGTTTAACATACATATTAATAATTATGATTCTATCTGACCATGCACACGTGCGGCTTCAATAGTTATCTTCTGAATCTTGCATTGGTTTATAGAATTATTTTAGTGCAAAGTTGATGAGAAGGATTATGAAATTCAACAGGAGGTGAAGATTTGGTGGTTCATTTCTGTTGTCTTGGACTGATGAATTTGTTTAGTTTAAAACTTTAAATGCAAATTTGGCAGGTCCAAGGAAGCAGGTTTAAGTTTATTTATATTTTTCCATGTTTTCAGGGAGACCTCGGTACTGTCAAATTGTCATATTGCCGCCAACAGGTTAGGCCGTCTGCTTCTGCAATCTATATTGTATCTTTCTATTGTCCAGTTGATATTGGATCACATGCTCACATCCCATATCTTCTTGTCTTGGGAAATACAAGTATTACTACTACTCTGCCAGTGCCATATATAAAAAATTCCAATTCAAAATCTTTTTTTAACTTGGGATTGAAACTGATCAAGGTAAATGTTCTCTTATTGTCTGCATTTCCATGTCTCTGTTGAAACTAAGATTTGCATTACCATTATTATTTTTTTCTTAAACTTAACCCACCTATTTGTTCATTTTCAAGCGGTAATAAATGAGGTAAATTGAATGTTTTAAACTGTATGCTTTTGTTGGGTTTTGAAACAAAATCTCCCTCTACGCTCTTTCTCTATACCATGTGCTGCCATATCAATTTGGACATTATTATTATAAAAACACTAGGATTTCTTTAAAGACACTAAGCCAACTGTTAGTAATTTTCCTGCCCACGTAGTGTTGCCATTTGACAATCTTCAATATATAAGAATGCAAGGGCTAGGCAGCTAAGCTAATTCCCAGCAAATGTATGATTGAATAATGGGCATGCTCTGAATCTGTCTGCTGGCTGCCATTAAACACAGAAACCATAATTAAAATTAAAAGAAAGATTCAAAAGAGTGTGAGAGAGAGTTGTACGGCAGCAGAACGACCGGCATGGCTCGATAGTCAATGATGCACATAATATTCTGAATTGTATAGCACATTGGATTAATTATGGAGACACCAAAATTCAAAAGTCTACCATAACAGGAATAGAATCATAATAGGAAAAAAAAAAAAAAGGGAATTAGCTGGCATGTCTCCTAACCCCCAATCCTCGCTATAAAGCCTATCTCTGTCCCTGTACAAACCCTAAGCTTAGCTCAGAATAATAACACATGTTAGTGCTAATCTGCTATGCAAGTTCCTAATTTGACTCACTATGCTTGCTATATTAGTTAATTATGGTATTCAATCCCATAGCAAATTTACCGTTTAAAGTTGAGCGCAGGATTTTTAATTTGCGGGTTTAAAATTTGCGAGAGATGGAAGAAAATTGTTTGACGGCAAAATTTAAACGACCCATTGTATTAAATAGCCGTTTGGTCGCTGAACGACCTCCTGAAATCTTACGACACGTGTCATTAATTAGACCTCTTGTTTAGATGACGTGTCAGTTTATTTTGTATAATGATCAAACTCTTATCGTTCATGCTTCCAGGCGTTACCTAAAAGAGTCGACGGTGGGTCTGTTCATCATACTAGATATTGAGTTGGGTTTGGGTTTAATTATAATGGGCCGAATTTTTTATTGGTTAATTAACTTTTATTGACCATTAGTCTTGAAATGAGATTCCTTGCACACCTTACAGGCGAACGGATTCCTTGTTATTTCAAACCATGCAGTGATTCTTTGATTTCCAGCCAAGTCTCAAACAATGATTACTTTATTCCTTGCTCAGTTCTTTCATATTTTGATTCAATCTTATTACCCCTCCTCGTTACATTACATTTCCTAAGCTCGCTGTCCACTTCCCCATCTTCTTCTGTTTGCAGGAAATGGCTTCTACTGTCATTTTTTCATGTCAAATCCCACAGCAGACCATCTGCTCCAAAATAGCATCTAGCATCAAGCCAGGCTACATGCCATTTAAACGATCATCTCAGAAAAACACAAAGATACAGCAGTATCAAATCGGCTTCAGAAGGCAGACTCGAAGGTGCAAATTTCCCGTGCCATCAGCTTCAGATAGTGAAGATATTACATTAAATCAGCTATCTGCAGCAAGTCTGATCAAGCAGTTCTTTGCGTGTATTAATGAAAAAAAATTGAAGGAACTAGATGAGTATATTTCAGATGACTGTTGCTTTGAAGACTGTTCCTTCGTTTCTCCACTACAAGGGAAAAAGGTTGTCTCTTTATCTTTCCCACCAAATTACAAAACATGCATTTCTTACTTTCTGCAAGAAACTCTAACAAACCACAATGAATTGCTACAGGAAATTATGCATTTCTATCAACTGCTTACTACAGGCATGGGCCATAATGTGAAGTTCAACATTGAACATGTTTGTGAAGATGATGAATTTACAGCAGGAGTAAATTGGCACATGGGTATTATCATCTGTCATCGTCTTGCATCATTATGCATTTCTTTTAATTAATAAAATGATGAATGTTTCTGCTATGGCAGAATGGAAAACGAGACAGATACCTTTCACCAGGGGATGCAGCTTTTACGAATGCTCACAAGAAGGGGACAGACTAGTTATCAAGTACCTACCAAATTAATAAAAATAAAATGTTTGAAATTTAAAATCCAATTTTGTTAGGAAACAAAACCTTATCATTAATTAGTACTTTGTTGCAGGAAAGCTCGGGTTGTGGTCGAATCACCTATAAAACCAGGAGGCATGGTGCTGGTAAGTACAATTGTTTTACATAAGAATATAACAATTCTTGTCCCAACTCAATAACTGACTTTAATATTTGTTTTCCTTCAGGTTCTGTTAAAAAATGTGACTGGAATGTTCGATGATTTCCCAAAGTTTGCAGATTGTAAGTTAACATTCATTAACACTTCAACAAATAGCAACTAGTACAAAACAACACAGCAAGATAACCATATTACTTGCAATACTTACTTTTTTGCAGGGTTCCTAAAGAGTCCTCATGTCATAGTGCAATTCTTTATGAAGATTTACTCTAGACTTTATGCACCTATTATCAATCCACTTCTATCAGGGTACATCAGGATTTGGAATTTCGTGGCTCGATTATTTGCCTTGGCACTAAACATCCTACTCCACATTCATAAGAAATACTTTCAGTAAGAGAACACTTACTAAGGTTCTTATGTACATAAAATCTATAGCTTTGCATCATCAGTCAGTTATCGTCACCATCATCATGGTTCGGCAACATTTGGAACAGTGAGAGAGCAACCAGCGGTCCAAAAACAGGTGGGAGTGGCGGAGGTCTACTAAAGGCAACAATTGGATCTGCCTTCTCACCGAAAAGTCGTCTTTCTTCAGCAAAATCATGATTTTCTTGTTTCTTCGGAGTTGAAGTAGCCACGGTGCCTAGTTTTAAGAGGATTCACTGTTAGAAGTTGCAAGTTCTTGAATTTATATAATTAGAACAATAACAAAAAGATGGGATATGATATAACATATTACCCCATGATCCCGAAGCAGGGAAGACTTGTTTCAATTTGTATTTCACAGGTAATAATGCAGCTATTCCACGCATTTAAGCAAAGTTTTGAAATATACTATTAATATTTGCTCAGTGGTAAACCTGAAAAATCCGAGAGACATGTAAATGGCATAGTTTTGAAATATAGCTCATAAAATTCACAGCTTAAACAGGCAAAACTAAAAATTGAAAGCAAGTAGGCTGCAAAAACAATACCAGAAGCAACTCAACCCTAGAATTGAGTGCTATTAGACAAAAGGATCATTTTGCTACTGAACCTCTATAATAGATCATAGTTGACTTTAAAAACTAATACCAAATCGATTCATTTGTTCAAGATTAGACTGTAATTTGAATTGAAAGCTTGAACATTTGCTAAAGAAAAGCCAACAATGAATAGCTCTTAACATACCAGCAATGGCTTGCGCGTGTTTTTTCTCAGCAGCAACAACATGAAACAGACTACAACTGCCTCTGGGTGATCCCAATAATCAGGAGAGAACAATCGAGAAAATTCGGTTTTTGTTCTAGGGGCTTCTCGGTGCGACCGATGAGATCACCGATTAGATTTAATCATTTTGGAATTGGGTTGGGCCCGGTACGATCTGGGCTAATTTTCGCGGCCCATTGGTAATTCAAAAGATCTCTTGGAATAATTGGGTTTTATTGTGGCCCGCATGAATACAATTGTTGGGCCTAATTTCGTTAAGACCGGAAAGAGTAATAAGAGTAAGGTGGAAAGCTAAAGCAGGTCCCAATATTGGTTGATGTGCAAGATTCACAACTTGGATAGTTCGGCAATCACTTGCTTGCACGTCTTCTCTTACATCAATTCAAAATTTCTTCAAATCTTAGAATTCGGCTAAATGCACAAATTCCTCATTATACTTTATAATATATATATATATTATGGCATTTTAAATTTTTATTTTAATTCATTGAACATTTTAATTTATAAAATTGCACTTAATAAATAATTCAAATTGATTAAACACTTATTTAATAGTTAAAAATTAAAAAAATTATTATTTTAAAGCTTATAGTAATCACACATCAAATTAATAATTTGCATATAAAAACCAACAATATCAACGAATTGCTGTTGCTAGTATAGATGAGTGTGTAAGATTATCAAAATTCATAATATTAGGGTCACAATAGATATTAAGGATTAAGAATTTATTTGCGTATAATATAAAGTTTGAAATGTGGAAAAATTTTTTGCGTACAGTTTGAAGGTGATCTCATACATTTGCTGGTTGAATTCTATTGCTTGTAATTTTATTCCTTTGGATCTTTATTTTGGTAATTTGAGCATTTAAGTAGCTATTGCTAGAGTAGTTACAACTTAAATACCTAATTACAACCTACAAAGTACATTAATAGGCTGTAATTAGGCATTTGGATCATTTTTAGGTTTGTTAAAGTAGTTACAATTTAACTTTTTAGTGTACTTTATATTCGTTAAGTTTCAAAATATAAGTTATTTTTATGTGATTATTTTGTTATGAAATATAAATCATTTTGAGTATTTTAAAGCATAATAAACGATATTTTTTTCAATGTTAAATACGATAAATACTTTCACAAAGTTTTCTTTATTTTTAAAGAAATAATTAAATACGATTACAAAAGAATCGAAAAATATATTAATTCCCTCTATTTTGCTTTATCCTTCTTTTTATCTCTCTATGCAACTCTTCAATACCACCTTCTTTCCTTTCTAATTCCTGCACCAACACCAGTATAGATGAAAATCAATAATTTAATATTCTTTTTTCATAAAAAGAATTATTAATACAGGAAAAGAAAAGAAATAATCCTCACCTTGGGTCCCAAAAATAATCCATAAGGAACCCCATCAAATTTATCGGAGTGATGGAGCTGTTAAAACCAGAAGAAAGAAAACATACGCGTAAATAAACGCAGTAAATTTTTTAAGGTGAAAAATGAAAAATGTTACCTGATGAGCAGCAGCAACTCTTCGCAAGAAGGGGACGTTGGCAATAGGCCCCACCGGGAATCGACAGTGGACGAGGCCATCGTGTACAAACATGTAAGCCATCCCAAATATTGTAATTCCAAGCCCCTGTGTGCCAAATTTATTAGTAATAAAGCTGGCTATTTTGGATTAATTAATCACAATTTAAAAAATTTCGCAATTTATTATTTTGTCTTTTTATTAATAAAAAGACACTAACATTTTAGTGATGCGCCGCACCAACATTTATGGAACTGGATATATTTTTTATTTTAGTTTATTTTTATACTAGTAAATAAAAAAAAAAAAAAAAAAAACATGTAAGCCATCCAAATATTGTAATTTCCACCCTGTGTGCCAAATCTTATTAGTAATAAAGGCTGGCTATTTGGTTAATTAATCACCAATTTAAAAAATTTCGCAATTTATTATTTGTCTTTTTATTAATAAAAAGACACTAACATTTTATGAGGGCGCCGCCCAACATTTATGAACTGGATATATTTTTTATTTTAGTTTATTTTCTATACTTAGTTAAATAAAAAAAAAAAAAAGAAAAAAAAAAAAAAAAAAAAAGAGGGAGAGGGAAACTCACAGCACCGAAACAGAGTCCAGGAATTAGACCTTTGTTGAAAAAACCACAAGACAGCAAAGCGATTGCTGGAACTGCATTTATTATTGCAAATACATCATTCACCTCAAATGGACCGTCCCTTGCTCTATGGTGAGACTGCCAAAATATTTACTAAAAATAAATAAATAAATATATTGTACAATCTGAAATAGCATTTAAATTCACTGAATTATAAAATTAACATGTACTAATTAATTAATTAACAATATAACAAAACCTCGTGCATATGCCATAACGAAGCATGCCATAACGCTCTGTGGGCCCACCTTGCCCAAAACTCCATACCCACCTGTAATAAAAGCAATCCCAGAATGGTCTTAAACATAAAATTAACACATAATTAATCATTTTAATCAGGCATAATTAAGACAAATTGTTCAAAAAATTGAACTTACTGCAGCCCCCACAGAAAGTGCGAAAGTACCAAACATTTCCAAGCCAGGAATTTCTCCACCCTGTAGAAAAAAAATAATATACATTTTTTACTATAGTATATCTGTTTTAAAATTATCAATAATTACCATCACTTTAATTATTTCATCAAGAGCAAATAAATTAGAGGGAAAAAGTATTTTGGGAATTATAATTAATTTAGCTTAAAAGCATATCAGGTTTTGTAGCCATTTTTATTTTATAATCAGAAACAACATAATTAAAATATTTTGGTAAACTAGTACTGTAGAGAAAGAAAACGGTAAATAACTGACTTGGCAGTACAAAGAAATGAAAATTAAGTACCTCCATTTGCCATGAAAATCTATAATAAACAGCCATGGCAGCCATTGAAGTGATGCCAATACTTGACAAGATAGCAGCTACAAGATACGTATACCTCTCCGATTTCTTTCTTGCAAGTTTCTCTTCTACACGTGAAATCAACGGTCGATTTTTCTTGATGTCATCATCAAAGGTTTGTGCTTTATCATCTTCGTCGATAATAACTTCAACAACAGCATCCTCTGTTTTCTTCTTCATCACTGAGCATGTCTTGAACCTCTGTTTTTTACTCGAAACAAATCCCTTTCTACGAAAGCTAATGATCGGTGTAGTTATGGAGATATTGGCTTTTGGAATTGAGAAAGAAGCTTGTCCAAAACGATGCTGTGAAGAGCTTGAAGTTACAGATACTGCAGTTGCCATGTAAATCTTTGCTTAAAAAGCAAAAAAAGAGATTCGAAGATTTTTAGATATATGACAAGTAGAAGAATCTTTATGTGAATAAAGTAAATAAATAAACAAGAATTTTATGAGGGATAGAAATGTTTTAGCTTCGAAAGTTAGGGTTTTCGAAGCTTGAATGAGATTCTATTTTGCTTTGTACTGCTACGAAGAAAGAAATATAGGAGGATCTCTGTTTTTTTCTTGATCACGCTGTTTAATTACTGAAGTTCCCTTCTGTTTCTGGACACCCATGGGGTCCAATCAAATCCAACTCCAAGATGTAAGGGTGGATTTCGTGTAAGAATGAAGTTACTCCGCTCTATTCCAATATTAATAAATAATAATTTAAAAGCCCCACGTGGTATTATTTTTTTGTCCCTTTGTATTATAGTGTCTAAGTATTTCTAAATACTTCTCGCAGCGGATCAGTTTTAAAATTAGTTAATCTATCACGAGAAAACTTGTTATATAGTGCTACAATTAAGCAAAAGAAATATTTAAAAGCTACAAAAATGGTTGAGAACCTTTAGATTTTGAGCCTTTGCAAGGTGTTGTCATGGCTTTACAATCAAGAACCAAAATTCTCTTCGAGTTGAAGTTGATGCCTTAATTAGGAGGCTAAAATAAACAAGTAGGCTTTTCTTTTTTTCAGTTCAAAAGACCGAATATTTCTTTATATTTTTCGCAAAATATCAAATTTGTTATTTTTATTTTAAGCTTTTGATCCTTTTAGTGTCTATTCATTTTTTCATTTTTTGGTTGATTGGTACTATAGCCAAATAAAAAAAATTGAATCGAAACTTTTATCATTTACTGCGTATTAAATATACGAATAAAAATACATATTTCTACTTGTGTTGGTATTTAGTTTCCTATTTCATTTCATTTCAAATCCAACCATAAAGCATTGGAATGAGAAACCACTACCAAGTGCACAAGGAAGAACATATCCTTCAGGATAAGACTAAGACTAAACACTAATAGGTAACCAAATTTTAGGTACAAACATTGAACTTAACAATTTGTCAGGAATTGTTAAACATAGTAACAACCCCACTTTGTCATTTAGGCTCTATGGGCATCCAAATAGAAGTTAGTGAAATCAATTGTAACTACACGAGTATACGAGAAAACTCCGCTCTAAAATTAATAAGTTTGAAAATTTTAGGCTTGAGCTCGATTAGAGGCTCGAGTTCAACTCGAAAAATTCTAAATTTGGGCTTAAATCGAGTAAGTGTAATATATATATATATAAGTTCGACAAGACTCCACGCATTTTCAAGCTGAATATTATTAGATTCGAGCTCGGACTTGATTCGAGCCGAACTCGAATATTTCACGAGCCCGCTTACCTCATTTATACCCCTGAGTCTGTGCTTATATTATCTATGTGATGGCTTTAGGGTCCTGAGGAGTCTGCCAGTTCAGTTCAGCTTATTTGGGCTTGTGTTCTGTGGCCTCAATATGGTATGGACTAAACAGTAAACTTCATGGGCTAGTAATCTTTATGATAGACTAATTAGGAGCCCAGAGTTTGGGGCCTTTTTGGACTGGTAGTCTGATTTTTGTTTTGTAGTTCCTCTGCAAATTGGTTTTAATGTCAAAGTTTTTATATTGAAATATTCATTCACCGATAAGTTAGAGAATAAAACTAGCAAGCAAAGAGGGATTGTGAGCTTAATTCGTGTTCTCATTTACGTGAGGAGTGGAAGGTTTCGAGTCTGAGTCCTCTTGACTATGAGTGTTTTCACCAATTTAGTAAACCAAGAGGAGAGCTATCAATTTTATGTAGTCCATAATATTATTTCAACTCATTAAATCTCTCAACAAATAAAAAATATGATTTCTTTAATCTCCGAGAAATGAAATTAATCCATACTCACAAAAGGTGTGAAATAGAAGAAGAAACCCTGACCAATCCAATAACTAAAAGCTAATGTATATAGATGGGAATTTTAAAATTTAGGCCATGTTTAAGGGCCACAAGGAACTATAAGCTATTCAATGCCAAACCATAAAGATCATAAACCCGCAACTTAGCCTTTATGAGTGTTAAAACATAAAAATCTATAACATAAAAAAGAACTTTAAAATTGTATACTATAAAATTTAAGTATACAAAGTTATATTATGACTTTCCTTTTTTTTTAAAAAAAAAAAAGTCATATTACGACTTTAAATATATAAATTGATTCGGATAATTTTCATGTTTTCTTTTTATTTTCGAGCGATTTAAAATAGTGCTATTAATCTCTACTTATATAATTATTTTTGAGAATACGGCATTTTATTTAAATAAAAAATAATAACTATATCAATTTAACTTTAAGTTTAATATATAATTAAAAAATATATTAAAAGAAGTTGAAAAAGTTGGAAACTTCAATATATGTCCATATATAATATATTGATGTTTAAAAGTTTTGGCTCCTCTCTCTAAGTGAAGAAGTGACAAACATAAAATTCACTTTTCTTTTTTTTTTTTTTTTCCTCTCTCTAAGTGAAGAAGTGACAAACATAAAATTCCACTTTTTCTTTTTTTTTTTTTTTTATAACCTCTTATGTTTTCTTTTTTTTTTTTTTTATACCTCTTATGGTATTAAAAAAGAGAGACTAAAGGAGCAAAACTCAAAAGAAAACAATTAATAAGAACACATCTTGGAATATGACATTCCACAATTATGATGGAGAAATTAAATTAAATTAAAATACTAATAAGTGAATGGTCAAGAACATACGTTCCAATCTAAAACCCACTTTAATAATTAGTTGGTGAATATTATCAATAAGAAAATATAATAATAATAATAATGCCTTATTCGACTAATGTTATTCAATGGGAGTAAGGAAATTTCTTTTTTATAAATAATGTATGCATGGTTTCATAAATAAGCCAATCAAAATTCTTTTTCTAAATGTTATTGCTTTATCTTTTTTCTTTTTCCGCATATAATTAAAAATATTCTTATTTGAACTAAAAAATTATTTATAATTAATTTGAAGTATAGCTGGATCTATACTCCAGGCATAAGATTAATAATTTTTATTTTTCTTTTATTCTTGGATTAGGAACATTTGCAAAGATTCAATACCCAACATGGGGTTGTAGTTGCCTGTTTGGTATTGGTCTCCTCCTGCTTTTTTCTTTTTTCTTTTTTCTTTTTTCTTTTTTTCATTTTTCTTTCACTTAATTAAGTGATACATACACCCGAAATTAAGCTCATCTGTTAATGTCATAATCAGAAGCAGTCTAATCACTTTTTATAGGTGTTGTCTTATTCTCGACATGACTTTAAATCTTTTCCCTTTTGGGATACATTTTTTTTGCAAATTAATTAATAATTAAATAGATATTTGCTTTTCATGTTTATTTTTCTTTTTTGTACCAACTCCATTATCTAAATTAGCTTTATGTGATTCACATCCATTAATGAGCTGTTTAGGATATTGAATTTGGATATAAAAAATCCCACCTTATCATTTCACCAAATTTATTAGAAATTCATAACATGCAATTTCTTAGAACTATATTTAAATTATAAAATATTTTTATCACTTGCATGCAACACTAAATAATGATAAATCAACAAGTTAATGTCATATATTATTATTATTAAGCATAGATTATTATTATTATATATATATATATATACACCGATCGATGAGTTAAATCAGCGAAAGTATATTATATTTTCAAGTGAATTTTACTTATAAGATAAGAAATTTAAAACTTGAAGCAGTTAAAATTACGAGAATTTTATTTAAACACTATTTTTCAATCCAAGATAAAAATAATTGTAAAAGAAAATAAAGAAAGAAAATTGTCAATTCAAACGATTTGAATTTCAATCTAATTGGGTTCTTGTCTAAGGTATTGTGAGTTGATTTTTTAGGGAAGGGTGAAAATAAGCTAATGATTGAAATTTGATTTGAAGGTTTGAATTCATGGCTGAGATGAAAATATACAAAATAAGGTGACTTTTTAGGTGGAGTAATTAAGGGCTATGAATATATGTTTGTAAAGACCCACTTCTAAATCACAGACGTATCTTTATAGGGCCATACACATTAGACATCATTATAATGTTTCTTCCACCTCTCACTGATATAAGGACACTCGTACCACACATTTTTATAAATACCTTTTCCGTTTTATTTTTTTAATTAAACTTATCATGATTCCAACTATAAATTTATTTACGAATCAAACTAATATAGATTAGAAAAATATGTTTCAATAGATCAAATCAAACGATGATATTTATGTTCATTCACATAAGAAAAAATAGTAATAAAGTGAAAATAATTTTTAAAGTTTTCTAATTCATTTAATTTGATTTATAGCTAAGATTACTAACCGGCCGATTTAAGTTAATTTTATTCTTTTAAAATTATGATTTACATTTGCCTTTTGCATGTACTATATTAAATGAATTTAAATTATAATATTAATACCGTTTACTGTAATCAGGTTCTTACTTTATTGCACGAAAATAGATATGAAAAAAATGTGAAATTGCATCAATATTACAGAAAAATGATATTTAAAATATAATTTTATATCAAAAATTGCATTTTATATAGGAAATCGGGCACGCGGAAACGCAGGTGGTTTGAAGTTGGCTTGAATTGAACCGTATGTTAGAGCTACCATTTCTTGACCAAGAGACATAAGCAAAAGGATCCCTTAGGCCAACAGGTTCCCTTCCAACCGAGCTAAGCTCATGTCTGAATTGAGCTTTGTTTAGTTCTTTCTTGTTACCTTTTCATTTTGAGGAGTACAAGTCAGTATGGGACCAATTGCAACACAATTAGGACAACTGAAACTATAATTTCCCTGTTAAAATCACTAATTAACTTGGAATTAACCCTTCTAATTAAGCATATTTCCTTTAATTACTCCCTAATTTAATAGTAATTTACTGGTTTAGCCAAAGCCACATACACATCATTTGTTCTAAGTAGATGACACTTAAAACATAGATTACAGTAACACCCACATGAAATATTTTTCGTGTACTTTTTATAGTGAGGTTTCATCATCTTTTTGTTTAAGACTAAATTCAATTTGGTTGATTAGATATTATGATTGATTTGCATAATAGCTAATGAAGTTCTTGTATGATAGATGTTAAGCAATATTGCAGCCAAATGGGTCCCAAACCATGTTAACCATTTATTAAGGAATTCCCTTGTGCTAATCTGATGTTAAATACTTAAAACTAATTTAGGTTAATTATAATAAATTCACTAACTGTCAATTGGATCTAATCACATACCACTCATCTCTAAATTATGGTTGCCAATTGCTCTAATTGCAGATTGAGCCCACCAGAATTTGACAATTGACCAACTTATTCCCTTCTATTTTGCTAACAAACAGTTACCAAGTCATTATTGTCTTATTGGAGTATATATGACAACTTGACCAACTTATTTCCTCTCTATTTTTGCTAAACAAACAGTTACCAAGTCATTATTTGTTCTTATTGGAGTAATATATATAATATATATATTATATATAATATATATATATTTATTATTATAAATATTCCCATCCGGCATATAATACCACCGGCTATACAACAGGATATCCCTCCTCTTAGCTCATCAAAGTGATAGTCGAGAGGACTTAAATTCAATATCTCAGGCTCCTTACATAAGTAAGAAAATCAACCAGACTGTACTTGATTGACAGTTTAATATTAAGCTACAATTAGATCATAAACCTCATAATAAAAAGAAAATAGAGATGGACAAATTTTCATCATGTCATTTTCTTTATTTCTTTTTCTATTGTGGGAACTGACAAGTATTTATAGCTACTTTCATACATGGAAAAATCTTGGTTTTAAGAGGGTATGAATTCATGTTGGAAAATCACTTTCAGCCAAGCTGTTTCATGTTAGTTCCAATTATAAAAAATTCTATATTATTTATTATTTAATGTGTTTCCACAAGAATTTGTATACATACTTCCTTAGAAGGTAGAATTAGTTCCTTCAAAATATTAACCTAGAGGGTTAAAATTACTGCTTGCATGCAATACACTAGCTACCAATATAAATCTTTAAAATCCCTAGAATTGATTTTCTCTTGATATCGTAGAAATGGTCGATCGAATTTAAACGTATCTTATCAATTTAAATATACAAGTCATTGTTATATATATATATATATATTTATTGTGGATTAACTTGCTTAGATTGAGTTCATAGTTCCATTTATAAACCAACTGAATGTAAATAAAAATTTTCATTAAAATGAGTGTATTCCTAATCATGCTGGAAAAAAAAATTAAAAAAAAATAATTTTTAAAAATTCTTATTTCAAAAGAAAAGGACAAAAAACTGTGCCGTCATTATTCTCATTGATACTTCTATGGATTAACATACACTTGCATCCTAATATGATAACATACATGCATATAACAACGAGTTTAAACCCTAATTCAAAGTAATTAACTAGAAAAATAGCAGACGTAACATGAAAAACAGGAAGCATTTTCTACAGTTGTAGTTGGGGCTAAGTATTATATATGAATTAGTTAACAAGGAAGATTGATCATGACATCATAACATGCATTATTATCATCATCATTATAGCATCCATCCAAAAGTATACCAGTACTCTATATTAGGGCTAATCATCTTGCTTTTCTTTCTCTTCTTTTATATATTTTAGAACTTAAAGAGAGATTAACAGATCTTAATTTTTAGGTATATATAATAAAGGCAGCACAAGCAATGAGCAGAGGCGGAAGCTACGGTGGCGGGCAGAGTTCCTTAGGTTACCTTTTCGGCTCAGATGAACCACCAAGTAACGCTGCACCGCCTTCCCGGATTATTAACCTACCACCGTATGGTATTGATACCATAGAACAGGAGGAAAAGCCTCGACATGACAATCCATCTGATAAGAATAAGCACAATAAGGTCACTTCAAACAATTATCACCGAGCTGAAGGCCAGAATTCTGGCAACTTCATTACTGTAAGTAATTAATTAATATTTTTATTTAATTAAGCTACTTAATTAATTACTCGTAAACCCTTTTTTTATTTTTTCAGGATCGTCCGTCAACAAAAGTGAAGTCAGTGCCTGGAGGAGACTCATCTCTCGGGTATCTCTTTGGAGATAAGTAATTATTAAAGTTTCTTAATTTTCTGCAGCTTTTAATAATGGATTAATTAGGCTTAGTTAATTAAGATAGTATTTGGATTTCAAGTAGCTTGTGAGAATAAGGGATTATTAGTGTTCTTATCCCCCATCATCAATGTTGTAATGAATCTGTAAGTGAAGTGTGTGGTTTCTGGTCTTGCAATCTGCAGTTAGTGATTAGCTTAATTAGTTAATAATGACTGTGGTAAGACTATATGTAGACATAAATATTTTTCTGCAATAAGAAAAGCTAGTTGTTTCCTATTATTGTGGGGATATATACTGACCATATTTGTTCAATAATGAGTTGTTTGTGGTTTATTTTTCATGGCCAAATTTAAAAACTAAAAAGGGAAACTTTCCATTTTGTTTTTCTCTTGTTTTGATATGTGGTCCTGAAAACAAGAAATATTTACACTGAAACTTGGTAAAATCCCTTCACCTGTATAGATTTGTGAGTTTCATCAGAAATTTCATCTTTTCTATTCATGGTTCTGTAGTATCGTTATGCATTAATTAGCTCATTTAAGTTTACTATTATGCCTACTTAATTTCTTAACATAATATAGCAGGAAACTTCTTGTATATTACCTGACCTTCGAGTTCTCAAATGGTGTTAACTGGAATAATTCTGTATGGTATGATATAGATATAGTTTTTCTGTCTTCTTTTCTTTGTTTGTACACTTGTTTCAACACTCGAGTTGGGAGTTCAATTAATCACTGAGGTCTGTTATTGTACAAAGTTACAGATACATGAAATGAACTTAGGACCTACTCCGTGATGATTTAGCGTTTTCTGTTTCAATTAATCACTGAGGTCTGTTATTACATGTCATCATCAAATATCTTGTTATCAATGTTAAGTTGTTAACTAAAATAGTTCTGATAAATATTAGTTTCAATTTCTTAACTTCCCCTAATTTTATTTAAAAGTTATAATTAAACTCTCTACCTTCATTCTCATAATAGTTACTTATATTTAATCAATAATGTAAATATTTTGTGAAGCATATACAGCATAGAACTCCTTATTTTTCCTTGCTCAGAAAAATTGCAAGATCCTCGCTCACAGAACAGTATGCATGCCGGCATTAGGGTTTTCAATTCTCTATTCTTTGTCTATATTCTTTGAATGGCAACTATATATAGTGTATACATAAGATATCATTTCCTTATAAGCTATTCATCTTTTAGTTGTCTCGAATAAAAGTTCATATTCTCTTTTCAAATTTACCTATGTATGTGTTCAACCTATATAATGTGCATCGTTAGTTATTTTGGCTTCATGTGTAAGTTGAAAATGCATCTTGTACAATAGATATAATATAGAGAATGAGAAGGTCATTAGCATCAATGTCTGAGGCTTTTTTGATTAGGTGGCGATGATATTATTTTGTACAAGTTTTTGACCTAGTTGATGATCAAAGATAATATAATGTATATGTATAATTAAAACATAAAGATATACATATCAAGAAGGTGTTGATTGGAGTAATAAACGACCTCAACCTCAATCTCAGTAAGAGTGAAACACAAATTCAACTCCTAGAAACAACATTTTATTAAGAGAATAAAAAAAATTTAGGCTCTACCTCCCACAACGATTATACCTCCTGCTTTTGTAGATACTAATAAACATTCTGTGGCCATGAGAAAAATTTAGGCCCAATATTAGGGTCAATCAGCTTAATTGTAAATAATGAGTCCAAAAACTAGAATCATTCTAGTCTTTAATGAACATACTGCAGGCTCATTGAAGTTGGGCCAGAATTGGGTTAAAATTGAACGCAGATTTTTCATATTGGGTCACTTTAGTTTTAAAAATATACTATGGGCTCATTATGAAAATGCAAGCCCAATTATAATTGGGCTAAAATTGGGCCTGGGCTCTTCGTAAACTAAGTTAAAATTGGCCTGAACATACGCAATGGCAAGAGTTGGTGATATTACTAAGACACCCAATAAATATAATATAAACCTATTATGAAAATTTCCACCACAGGACATGCCTTAGATGTCTACATACATTGTATACACACTACACCTATATTATTACATCCAAGAAAAATAATAATGGAAGAAAGTGATTAAATAATAAATGAATAAGAATACGAACTCAAGAGAGGAATTGTGATTTTGGTGTAAAGCACTTGAAGAAGTAACCTAATTTCTTCACTACAAATTAGAAAATAATTAAAATAGGAATTCAATTGTCACATGTTTGGGTGGACACAACCATAAATCATGTGTTTGTGGTTGCTTACCTATCACTTGTCTCATGAGTGCTTTGTGCTTGTGCTATGCTTTGCCATTTCCTTATATAATAATCCACACGAAATATATATATGTGATCTCATCTTATGATGTGGGGTTTTGGTTTCCTTTCACTCAAAAAAGAAAAAAAAAAAAAAAAAAAAAAAAGCTATTAATTTGGAGCAGTGATGGTCTGGCTGTGTGGGATTTGACTCATGAGAAAAATGACAAGTGAAGCCATTTCCTGCCAACACAGAAAGAAGATGGGGAAGTGGACCAGCGAGCTTAGGAAATGTGAAATGTAACGAGGAGTGAGGTGTGGTGAATGATCGCAGATTTTGAATATATATAGTACAATCAATGCATCAAGAATCATGTGAGCCAATAGTCGAATAATATATCAGTATGTAATATCATTGTTTGAATCTGTGGGACATAGCTAGATGAAAAATACTAAGAAGATCATTCTGCCTATGGGTTGAGCAAGTAGACACAGGAGATCCGTTCGATACACATATTTAAATAGGTTTCATGATGCATTGGCAATTAATCTGTATATTCTCCCCACTTAGATCTATATTGGCAATACGCTTAATTTAGTTAAAATTAAACCATTAAAAAGAAGTAATTTTCGGCCCATTTATATTAAACCCAAAAACCCAACTCTAATATCTAAGTAGATGATAACAGACCCCTCACACGGTCGACCCTCTTTTAAGTAACGCCATGGCGGTAAGCATGTAACGCATAAGAGTTGTATTCATTTATACTTAAATTAACAAAACTGGATCAACAGTCCATTTCTCTATAACAAGAGGTCTAATTAATGAACACGTGTCGTAAGATTAGACTGGAGTGTCGTTATTCAGCTCGACCAAAACGGCTATTTAAATTAACAATGTGGGTAGCTTCTGTGTTAAATTTTCACTGTTTCAACACACAATTATTCTTCCCATCTTTTTTTTATTAATTTTTCCCATTACTCTCGCCCTCGAGAGGAGTGGCCATCTTTGCTGCAAAGCCACCCCATATAACCAAGAACAATTTTATTTAACAACAAACCCGCAAATTAACATAAAGTCCTAGCTCTTTCAACTCTCTTAAACGGCTAAATCTTTTGCTATTGGTAGATTTTTTTTCAATTACTATAATTAACCTATATAGCAAGCATAGTGAGTCAAATTAGGAACTGTGGCTATAGCAGATTAGCACCCGTTATTGCTCAGAAAAATGCAAGCATTCCTTCGCGTCAACAGAACACGTTCATTGCATGCCACATGGTTATTATTCTGAGCTGCAGCTTAGGGTTATTACAGGGACAGAGAATAAGGGCTTGTTATATCTGAGTGCAAATTGTGCGGTGGCTTAGGAGACACCAGGCTAATTCCCTTTTCTTTTTCTTTTTTCCTATCTATGAGGTTTCCTATTATTTCTATGTTTTCATTGGTTAGACTTTTGAATTTAGGTGGTTCTCCCATTATAGATTAGATCCAATTCTTGCTTAATACAATTCTCAGATATGTGATGGTGCCCAACAATCATTGCACCAATTCGAGCCTAATGTCAATATGTAGTGTATACATAAGACTTATCATGTTCTCTTACTAAAAGCTATTCATCGTTTTAGTTGTCGTCGAAGTAAAGAAAGTATCAGTCTGTATTCTTTGCTTGTGTCCGATATCAATCTATCTCTTTCTCTCACATCTCTATTTTGAGATTATCGTTTCAGTTTTAATTTTAATTTATTGCTTTCTTGAATTTGGCGTTTCAATTTGGCAGCCAGCAGAACAGATTACAGAAGCATGCCTCAACTTATAACTATAGTTGACTATCAGTTTAGGCTGTGCGGAATTAGGCTAGCTGTATTTTTCCGCTTACAGCCCTTGCATTCTTCTTATATTGTTGTAGATATTGTGTTGAAACATACAACTGGCGCACACACATCTCATCTGTGGGTGCAGGAATAAGAAAATTACTAATACAGTTGGCTTTAGATGTCTTTAAGATAATCCATAGTGTTTTTATTATAAGAATGAAATAATAGATGGGTCCAAATGAAAGCGTCAGAGTTAGAGCCGAGTTCCAACAATTGGTTGCTGTATAGGAGAGGAAGAGCGTGTATGTGGATGGTGACGATTTTGTTTCAAAATCTCGCAACAAATAGCTAATTACAGGCTTTTAAAACATCAACTTACCTCATTTGGATTACCCCGCTTGAAAATTGTGCAGACCAAATAGGTGGGTTAAGTTCCCCCTAGTGATATTATATTTATGATACAGTTTTTGACCTAAGTTGGCATTGATCAAAGATAATTATAATGTATTGTATAATTACAAACATAAAGATCAGAGATGAAGGTATACATATCAAGAAGGTGTTGATTGGGAGTACCATAAAACGACCTCAACCTCTGAATTCTCATTAGAGATGAGAAAGAGCGCGGAACAAATTGCAAACTAAAAATACCTAGATTAACATACAGCGTGTAATGCAAATTTCAGTTCAGTTCTCAACGAGAAGTGACAGTTAGGAAAATGCGCGAAGAGACATATAAAAACGAGAACAATAAGCGCGTGATTCTCACAGTTCCAACTCCCAAGTAACCCACACAGGATCACAAAAAAAAAGATGTTGAATAGCGGACTCTCTTTTGTTATATCCATGCCTATCGTGTAATACGTAATAAACAAATTCGGCCCATGGAAAAAATTTAAGGCCAATATAGCGGGTCCAATCAGCTTAATTGTTAACTAATGAGTCCCAAAAACTAGATCATTCTAGTACTTTAATGAACATTTACTGCAGCTCATTGTAAGTTGCGGCCAGATATTGCGGTTAAAATTGAACGCAGATTTTTTCATTATTGGGTTCACTTAGTTTAAAAGAATAGTACTATGGGCTCAGTTATGAAAAATGCAAGTACCCATATATAATGGGCTCATAATTGTGGCGCTTGCGGCCAGCATGAGCCGGTTCGCTCTCGTAAAACTAGTTAAAATGGCACTGAAAACATACGCAATGGCCAAGTGGCGGAGTTGGGTGATTATTACCTAAGACACCCAATAAACGCGATATAATTATGACAACCTAATTATGAAAAATTTCCACCACAGGGACATGCCTTAGATGCGTCTAACCCATACATTGTCGCTATAGCACACATACATCCGATAGTATTTGATGTAATCGCAAGGAAATGAATCCAATAAATTGGAAGAAAGTGATATCTTTAAATAATTAATATGGAATAAGAATACGATACTCCAAGAGAGGAATTGTGATTTGGTGTAAAGCACTTGAAGAAAGTAATCCTTAATTTCTTCACTACAAAATTAGAAAATAATAAAATAGGGAATTCAATTGTCACATGTTTGGGTGGGACACAAACCAAAAATCATGGTTGTGGTGCTACCATACTCACTTGTCCATGAGTGGCTTTTGTGCTTGTGCTAATGCCTTTGCCCATCTCTCCTTTAATTATCAATAATCCCACACGAAACTATTATTATGTGATCTCATTTTCATGATGTGTGGGGTTTTAGGTTTCCTTTCACTTCAAAACAGAAAAAAAAAAAAAAAAAAAAAAGCCAGATGCCCGTGAAAGGCAATAACTAAATGTTAACGGGTTTGCAATTGGCCATTGAGTGTTTGTCCCTATTCGTTTGATTCTTGATCAAAGGCAGGCTCTTGACTCATTGAGCTTATTAAAGCCGGGCTATCATGCCCTATGGGTGAATTTCGGAAGAAAGCAGTGTACAGTATTTTTAAAATAGAATAATGTTTGTTTTTGAATCCATTTGAAAAAAAAAAAAGAATTTGAATAGTCTTATGTCCACTTGTGTAGTTTGAAATTGATTCAGACTGTTTGAAGACTTTTAATTATTTAATTTTTTTTGAAAATTGAAATTATTATTATTTAATTTTATATACATATTATTAATTATTATACTTAATGTTTTGATGATCAACTAATTAAGACCATTTCCACCCACATAATTAAATCAGTAAAAAAAAAAAAAAAAAAAAAAAAAGCAATGCCCGTGAAAGGCAATAATAAATGTTCACGGGTTTGCAATTGCATGAAGTGTTTTGTCCCTATCGTTTGATTCTTGATCAAGGCAGGCTTTGACTCATAGTTATTAAAGCCGGGCTAATCCCATGGGTGAATTCGAAGAAGCAGTGTACAGATTTTAAAATTAGATTAATTTTGTTTTTGAACCATTTGAAAAAAAAAAAAGAATTGAATTGAGTCTATTCACTTGTAGTTGAATTGATCAGACTGTTTGAAACTTTAATTATTTAATTTTTTTTGAAATTGAAATTTTAATTATTTAATTAATACATATTATTATTATTATTATTTTATGATCAACTAATTAAACCATTCACCCACTAATTAAATCAGTAACCTATATACATCCAGCCCTTTAGTCGAATCAATGTCCGGGCCGGACTGCTTTAAATACTTAATGTTTAATATAGTAATAATTAAGTTAATGTCAGTAATGTAATAATTTTAAATATTAATATAATTGTATGATATTTCTTGAACAAAATTTTAAGGCATGAGCTAAGGTTTGTGCGACTTGCATATATTTACTATATAGTAATATTTTAGGTTAAACTTTAGACCTTGACTTTGGCAAATTCAATGCATTATCATATCTTCATATCACTTTATCAATTGGAGTTCTCTATACTATAATATTGAAATTCTTTAATTGCTTCTTGGCTCTTGTTTTTTGAATGAACTCTATTGTAGGTTCAATTTTAAAAAACAATGATAAATTTTTAATTGATTAATTAAGGTAATTGCATAATTAGGGTTTTAATAGCTTTGACTAAAATTTTTTTTTAGGGTGATTGAGAGAAGTACTAAAAATACAAACAAATAAAAAAGAAAAAATACTGAGAAACCACTCAATATGCCTCCATAAATATATTGGTGTTTTATTAGATGAAAAAGGGAAAATAAATAAAAATACTTATCATTTGTTGAAATAATTAGAGTGTTTAAATTGAAATCCATTTATCAGTCCTAACAATTAAATAAAAATCACTCAAAAACTTAATTTTTTTTAATTGAATCGATTGATTTTGATGATTCACTGTTAAGTATTAATTGATCCATTTTTGTAGTTATAATCTTATGTTGCAATTGACCTATTCCTATAGCTCATCAAATTACCTTCCTCTATCTTCGCTATTTAATATTTATATAAGTATTAATTAATTAATGTGCAATTTATGACCAAGACGAAGATGCCATTCATGTCCCCAGTTGGTGGAGGACTTGCCGGCCGCCCATTTATGCCTATCTTTTCATCGACTTCTACCTTAGACAACATTGTCAATCCCTTTCTTACAAGTTGCTCTCTTCTAAACTTCAAGCAACTATTAAAGGTTATATTTGTAAATTTAAAAATCAAAATTTTTTTAAAAAAATTAAAAAAATTAAGCACTATATATAATCTGCCCTTCCACCAAAACCATATCAACCCTGTTATTCTTGTACAATGGAGCCGTGGACAGGTGCCATAAGATCTCAGGTATGTTATATATACATAAAGGAGTAATCTTTCTTGCTGCTATATTGATTTAGGTCAATTTCTTGGCTCTGTAATCTGTGATTCTTTGGATTGAGCAGATGGTGGAGGCTATTGTAGGGATTGGTGTTTTGCTATTTGTTTTTACAAGTGGAGTTGAGAGTAGAAAACGACCCAAATTTGGATGTTTTGAGTATGCAGCTATAAGTTGCAGAGCTCATGAGGCATCATTGGAAGATTTTGGAGGAGTTGGTGATGGACAAACTTCAAACACGAATGCCTTTAAATCTGCAATTGAGCATTTGAGTCAGTTCTCATCAGATGGTGGATCTCAACTTTATGTTCCTCCTGGAAAATGGTTAACTGGAAGTTTCAACCTTACTAGCCATTTCACTCTTTTTCTTGATAAAGATGCTGTTCTTCTCGCCTCTCAGGTAAGAAATCTTTGTAAAATGGTTGAATTGATTTATTTTTTTTAATATATCTTAGCCCATAATTATAAGACAAAAATGTTTCCAAAAAACAAGACCCATGTTGAAAAAATCATTTTTTTAAAAACTATCGGAGACCAATTAACGAAGAAAAAAATTTTCAATGTACTTAGTAATGTTGCTTAATCCAATTTCCGTTCTAGTTAATACCAAGAAGTTCATTTTCAGTGCTTTTATTAAAGAATAGCCAAGAAAAACTTTTGTGATAGGGAATTAGGGTCATTGTATAGCTGGGACCAACCTCATAGTCTAGTATAGGTCTGTAGTTACTGGACAGAAACTTTAGCCATAAATCCACTAAACTGAAAACTGAAAACTGAAAAATTCTTCTTGGTAAAAAGTCTAATAGAAAAGAGGATAAGCTTTTCACGGGCTAAACAATTCAACTGTCAAGGATTCAAGGCCACAAAAATTTGTTTCTGCATTCCTCTTAAATCAAGTAGAGTCGTAAATAAAAGACAAAAGAAAGTAGAGTTGTTCATACATCAGCCTTAAAAATATGCATAATTTGTGAACTTCTGCTTTTAGTAACGGAAAGAAGCTTATTTGGTGGTTTAAGTATTTGTCTCCTCATTATGTCAGGAAATGAAATCCTAGCAATCCCTTTTCTTTTGAGAATTTCTGATGTGGGAAAAAAAATTTTCAGGAATTCTGTTGATAGGACACCTTTTACTTGCCCTTTTAACCTTTTTAATGATTTGTGTTCTTTCTGAAATTTTAACTAATTAAAGTTTCCAATTTAAGTAAAGTATGATAAATTATTTTCTATATAATTATCCAATTTATGCAATTAAATGTCCTCCATTTTGGAAATTCAATTAGGATGAGAGTGAATGGCCTGTGATTGAACCATTGCCATCCTATGGTAGAGGAAGAGATGCAGATGGTGGAAGGTATATCAGTCTCATTTTTGGAACCAACCTTACTGATGTTATAATTACAGGTATAATCTCCTAGTAGATTAAACTTATTGAGACTGTTAAACTACCGAGAAATCTATCATTTTGCTTATGCACATTGTGGCTTTTTAGGTGCCAATGGCACCATTGATGGTCAGGGTGATATCTGGTGGCAAAAATTCCGTAATAAGGAGCTGAACTACACCAGGCCTTACCTGATAGAATTAATGTACTCTAGTAACATTCAAATCTCCAACCTTACATTGATGAACTCTCCTTCATGGAATGTGCATCCTGTTTATAGCAGGTAACCTAAATTTTTCCTTATTCAAAATAGAGTTTAATGTTCTTTTTTTTTTTTTTTTGGATTTGTTCTGATCAAGGAATAATATAAAATGCAGCAATATTGTTGTTCAAGGCATAACAATTCTCGCACCAGTAAGGTCTCCGAACACTGATGGGATCAACCCGGGTGAGAATTTCAAAATGAAATCTATTGCAGTATTCTAAAAGCAGTTTTTCAATTTTAGCAACAAGGTATGTAATCTAACATTTTGTCTTACTTGCATAGACTCATGCACAAACACCAGAATTGAGGACTGTTACATTGTCTCCGGAGATGATTGTGTAGCTGTTAAGAGTGGGTGGGACGAGTACGGTATTGCTTTTGGTATGCCTACTAAGCAACTTGTAATCAGAAGGCTTACTTGCATTTCTCCGACCAGCGCAGCAATTGCGCTGGGCAGTGAAATGTCTGGTGGGATACAAGATGTCAGGGCAGAAGATATTACTGCTATTGATACAGAATCAGGTGTCAGGATAAAAACTTCTATCGGAAGAGGGGGTTATGTGAAGGAGATATATGTAAGAAGAATGACAATGAAGACAATGAAATGGGTATTTTGGATGACAGGAAATTATGGGTCTCATCCTGATAATAACTATGATCCTAATGCAATTCCCGTGATTGAAAATATCAATTATCGCGACATGGTTGCCGAGAATGTAACTATGGCAGCTAGACTCGAGGGCATAGCCGGTGACCCCTTTACTGGAATTTGCATATCTAATGTCACCATTAAACTCACAGAAAAGCCAAAGAAGCTTCAATGGAATTGTACTGAGATTGCAGGAATTTCTAGCGGCGTGACTCCAAAACCTTGTGATCTCCTTCCCGACTCAGAGCCGGGGAAGGTTACACCATGTAATTTCCCTGAAGATAGCCTACCAATTGAAAATATTAAGGTCAGGGTGTGCTCTTCCGGAAGAAAGTATTTGTGACTAGGGGCAAACTTTCTGTACAGTGCAACTTGGTTTCTGTGTGTACTATTAACACTTCAGTGAAAATTAATTCTCACAATATGAGGATACTATAATTATCTCAGATATAATCACACAACTCTATTGTTCCCTGAAAACCAAAAATATAAAATTAGCAGCTATATACTAAGAATGCATTATCTATACAACAAAATAGAAGTGGACAAACAGCTCTTCACAATAAGATGATTTTATTTGAAAAATATGGAAAATATAAATCAGATCCATAAGCAAATACAACATGCATGCTGAATCTTTTCTTTGCTTCTAGCCCTAAAGCTCCCAACTGATAGTACTTACAGAAGATCCGCATTAATTTTAATAATGCACTTCATGCATTAATATAAAATATAAGCATCCAAATCCCTTGAAGAAGTTGCTTGTCAGTGTCTTAATCATTGGGTGCTTCCACTCTCAGGGTCTAGTAACGGGAAGTTTATGTACTCTCAGAAATGTTGATGTACAATATATATTATATTCAAGGGAAAGACACTATCCAATTTCCCAATGCATTTCTCCAGCACATTCATTTCTCCTAATAAGTTGGAGGATCTGGATTGAACTTCACTGATTCCCTCCAGATGAGTTCCTTGATGTGCTCTTCAGTGCATGATGGGTGCTCAAAATCAAATTGAAAAGGCCTTGGGCAGATAGGCTCGTCATTGATATCATGAAAAGCTGACAAGTATGGGTGACAAAGTGCCTCATCAACTGCCAAAACACAAGTATAAATACTCAATGGTGGAGCAGAAACAAAAGGGACTTGGAGTTTAAGCCGGTATGTAGAAGTGATGCACTTGAAAATTTGAACAGCTTCTTCATACCTGTAATGCGCTTGTTAGGATCAAAAACAAGCATTTTTTCCAGCAGATCGGCAGCCCCTGGAGACACATTAGGAAACCTAACTGAGAAATTCTGCTTTCTGTACTGTGGGAGCTGTCTAACATATCTTCGAGCATTATCACTTCGGAGAAACCCAAGGCTAGCGTCATCAGGTGAACCTATTAACTTTTAGACAAAAAAAAAAAAAAAAACCGTTGGGCATGCATAGGCTCGGTCACTGATATCAGAAAAGCTGACAAGTATGGGTTGACAACGAGGTGCCTCATTCAAACTGCCAAAAAACACACTAGTATATAATACGCAATGTGCGAGCAGAAAACAAAACAGGGGACTTGACGTTTAGCCCGTCGGTACTGTAGAAGGTGACCTCGCACCTTGAATTTGAACAGCTTCTTTCATACCTGTTAATGCGCTTTGCTTAGGATCAAAAACAAGCATTTTTTCTCACGCAGATCGGCAAGGTCCCCTGGAGACTACATTAGTTGAACCCAACTGAGAAATTCTGCTTTCTGTACTGTTGGGAAGCTCCTATCTAAAACATATCTTCGCAGCATATCACTTCGAGAGACAAACTCCAAGGCTACGCTCATTTCAGCGTTGAACCTAGTTTAACTTTTTTCAGACAAAAAAAAAAAAAAATAGAAAAAGATAAGCAAGTAGTGATCTTTACTGATAACTTATGAAAAAAAAAAAAAAAAAAGAAAAAGAAAGCAAGTATGATTTTACTGATAACTTAATGAAAAAAGTAAGAAATTGTATGAGATTGATCCATAAAAATAAATAAAAGACATTATGTTTTCTTCTATTGAAATAAAATGTAGTAGTACCAATAATCTAATGTTCGCTCGACAACTCGTGCGACGTGTAATAATTCAAGCATTTCCCCGCTTTATACAAATTAACAGGTTGAAAGGACGCTAGAAACACTGGGAGTCTGCGAACCATCTAAGCACCAGATAATATTGCTCTTTTTATGTCTAAATTGGCGCACCTAAAACTGATCATTGGTCTAAATAAAAGAGTAAACATCAAATTACTAGCAGAGTGTTCCCCTAGAGCAGCAAAATGGTAGCTAAATGCGACCGCTACCTTTGGAACTTTGGATAAATGTAAAACAATATCGCTTACCAGATGTTATCAACGGGAGAAAGGCAACTAAGAGAACAACAAACTTCTTGTTTTCTTGGGGTGCAGGATGGGGGGACCCAACAAACCAGGTTGGCCATTTTGACTTATTAAAAGCTAATTAAATATTTGTTCTAAAATTCATACCTCTGTAATAAGCCTTAGCTGATGAACATAATCTTTCCCAGGAAACATAGGTTCTCTGGTCATAATTTCGCCAAGGATGCAACCAACAGACCAAATATCAATCGCTGCAGTGTACTCTGAACAATTAAGGAGCAACTCTGGTGCCCGATACCAACGAGTGACGACATACTCAGTCATGAAATCTGTTTCAGATGTTGTCCTTGCCAAACCAAAATCTCCAATTTTGAGATCACAATTTGAATTAAGAAGCAAGTTGCTGGGCTTAAGATCACGATGCAGTACATTGGCTGAATGCACATATTTCAATCCTCGTAGCAACTGGTACAATAAGTACTGCAAAAATTTCATTGAGAATCTATCAGTTCCAAATACACTTTCAAACTCCATCATGTATAGGAGTTATCATGATGTATTAACTCCTAAAGTTTAGATGGTCAGGATGAAACAACAAGAAATAAGCTAATGTGCGTGTTCAGCAGAGAAAATTACGTGTCAGAAAAACCAATATGATATTATATGTGCCAAACCTGATAATGATCATCAGTCAGTGATTGATCAGAACGAATAATGTGATGAAGATCAGTGTCCATCAATTCATAAACAATGTACACATCATTGAAAGCATCTTTTTTTGGTGGCCGTATAATGTCCCTAATAGCTATAACCTGTGAATAGGGAAAGAAGAGATATATAAGCAAATATGTAATTAAAAAATTTGATGTCAAAGGTAAAAACCGAAACTCACGTTTTCATGATCCATATGACGAAGAAGCTTAATCTCTCTCAATGTTCTTTTTGCATCTACTCTGTTGTCAAAAGCATTTCCAATCTTCTTAATGGCAACTTCCTCCCGGGTCTCTGAATTCACAGCAGCACTGAAAAGAAAAGGAATTAGATATTACCGCCCTTTCCACCATATAATTAATGGTATAACCAATGGACAGAAAGAAATCTTTTAATGGGATTCCAAAGTGGTCAGAGCATCCGTAGAAAGTTTCTCAATCTTATCTGTCCTTCAAGGTACATAATGATTGTGAAAATGGAGAGGAAGCCATAGATACCAAAGTTCCATATTCCTAATAGAAAAAATATTCCATACACAAAATCTGACGAATTTGTCAAAGATAACTATAAAGCGACAACACTCATCAGTATGCATAAACAGATAGGAAGTTGCAGCACAACGTAAATATGGGGATTATCAATTTTTATTTCATCCTAAAAATACAACACAGAAACACATCTAAAAGAAATACAATGAAAAGCTCCTTCCAATCCTTTAGGTATCAAAAAGGTTTTGACTAATTTATGTCCAATTTTTAGGCAATATTTGCCTTCCAATGCTTGATAGGATGTACAAGTCCTGCTGAGGCACCATTAGTTATACTATCCGAGAAATCAAACAACATGGTCAACAAGGCAAGGTCCATTAACATAGAAGCAAAAACTGAGAGAGATACATATTGAGAGTTTTACGAAGTTCTGAAAAAGACTATAAGAGTAACTAGCTGTTCCAATCACGTTATATTCAAATTCGGCAGTTCAAACAGATAATAAAGGCTCCTTTAGCCATAAATTCACCACCAAAATAATCCATCAAAATTACATATTCAAATATACTTTAAAAACACACTTCTCATATAAGGAAAGTAGCAAACAGCACTAATCAAAAGATCATAATATAGGTTCAAGCATATCAAGCAACCAAACTAAATCAAAATCAGAAAAAAGAAAGAAATTACCAGACAATGCCATAAGCGCCACGGCCGATGGGGCGAATTGGAGGAACGTACTTGCTAGAGACCTCGAACAAGTTACCGTACACATTGTATTGAACATAGCGACCGCCATGAGTTGAAACTCCTTTTATTTTACTGCCATGACCAGCCTCTGTTGTTGAACCAGAGCTCGACTCTTTAGTACTTGCAGCCATGCTTTCTCTGCAACTTCCTTTCTTTTCCTTCCTGAACGTGGAAGGATTGGATTTTTTCCTTCCTCGTGGATAGATTTGGGAAGGAGAGAGGGTGAAAACCGTGAGCTAAACGCAAATGCCTAACTTCGCTTGATTAAAAACCAGACTGAAAGAGCTTCCCCTTCTTTTTTTTCTCTCTGAACTTATGAATATATCCGTGAAATAAAGACGACTTTTCTACAGTTCGAAAATTTTAAAGAGGCGCTTTTGATTTGGTACAGCAAACTCCTCGTTCAACTCTTTTGTGAGCCAATCACAGCTCGCCAGAAAGTGGATACAATCTTATTATTACTATTATTATTTTTCTTGCCTAATTGTGATTAATAGTAAAAAATCAATTACTTGAATGTTTCTGCTATTATTGACCGGTTCACACATATATGACCCAAAGCATTAATCACTTTGACTAAGCTCCAACCTTTTAATTCAAAGTTGTTTAATTTGCGATTGTGATATTAAATTAATAATATCCAAAGCAAGTTTTTAAGTTTTAACAACCAAATAGAATTATATTAACTAAAAAAAAGTTAAAAATTTAATTAACTAATCAATCTATTTCAATCATATTGATTCTTGACAAAGTCTTATCCTAATGGCTAAAGTAGAGGTACTCTTTACTACAAACATAGGTTGAATTCTTGTCCTACCACCATTTATAATGTAATATTGTTAATGTAATTTACAATGTTTGTAATCTATATAAGCGTTCGAATGTATAGAGTAATTTCCAATAAAAATAAATAAATAAATAAATAGCAGCAGTATGTAGATGATCTGTAGATGTAGAGGAACAAATCCAGCATTGAAGTGCTTTAACGATATGGTGGTTGAATGGTCACGGGATATTTGCAAACTTTCTCCATCATCTCATGTCTAAATGCTTCGAGAAGCCTCTAAATTTCCAGCTTCTTTTTAGCCTGGTAGGTTAGCTTGATAGCAATCTGCTTCGTCTTCCTATATATGGTCACCAAATTACTTAAAAGAAAATGAGAGAATATTATATATTGAATTATATAAGCTACTAATACAGAACCCAAATCCTTTGAAGTTTAAAACCCGAATTATAAAATGGTAAGATTTGTACTTACTGGGCTCCATAAGACAGGGACCTAAAACCAACGATTTTGAGGGCATGGGAAAGCCCAAAGTGATTGAAAAGAATACCGAACATTTCATGTCCGTTTCTGGGCTGGGCTTCAAAAGGTTTGTCTTTTGATGCTGTTCCCGCGTAAAACAACCGCCATGTCGTATAATATACAATTTCTCCTTTAGTTTTATGGCATAATGTAAACGACAGCTCAAATTCAAACAATTGTGGAATTTTACATTTTGAATAATGTAAGCTACAGTTCAATATAATAAGCGCAAGAACTCCTTTAAATTTTTACGAGACATAATGGCCTTTACTTTACGCTACGCCCTTATCTCGCTCCAAAGTGATTTGCCGTTCAAAAAATTTCCCAAGAAAAAACGACCTTCAAACAATACAGAAACGGCAAATCCTTTTTATATTTAATCAAGAGTAAAATGACAAAACTGTTTCGCACACCCCTCTTCATATTTACGTCGCACGGTCCAAATAGAACAGGCAATTATGGGGCAAAATAGGAAATAACAAAAGTGGAAAATGACAGATTAATCTAGAAACCCGCGAAAACCGATTCCAAAACCTTCCAGTGTCTCCATCTCTTTCTACCACCTGCTTGCTGGCATAAGAAGAACCCACCAGAACCCTCTTTGTCTTTCTTTCAGTGTATATATATAAGCACCGCTTCGTGTCGTTTCTCTTTGTAATCATAAACGGAAGTAGTCGAAAAGCCAAAATCACATTTAAGTCTCTGTTTTCGAATTGTTTTGGTGTAACATTTGAGCTTGTTGGAACAAAATGGCGGATGTGCAGATGAGAGAGACTGAGACCGAGACCTTTGCTTTTCAGGCGGAGATTAACCAGCTTCTTAGTCTTATTATCAATACTTTTTATAGCAACAAAGAGATCTTCCTTCGTGAGCTCATCAGCAACTCCTCTGATGTAAGTCATTAACTAATAAAAGTTCCTCCTTTCTTCTTAAATATATTTTTGGATTTTAAATTTGATTGTTTTATTAATATTCCAAACGGAATTTTGTTTTTAGAGCAATAATGTTTTGATTTCTTTGATGAAATGTTAGGATTTTCAATCTGAACCAATTGAATTTGATTGTTGTAGGCGCTGGACAAGATTAGATTTGAAAGCTTGACAGACAAGAGCAAGCTTGATTCTCAACCGGAGCTCTTCATAAGGATTGTGCCTGATAAGGTTAACAAGACCCTTTCCGTTATTGATAGTGGCATTGGCATGACTAAAGGAGGTAAATGAGTGACTCCATAAAGTCAGTTCTGAATATTAGTTTTCTAATCCTGTTTTGAGCATGCGGGTTTGATTGAACCTATAAATTCTGGTGTTAGATTTGGTAAACAACCTGGGTACAATTGCAAGGTCTGGTACCAAGGAATTCATGGAGGCATTGCAGGCCGGGGCTGATGTGAGCATGATTGGGCAATTTGGTGTTGGGTTCTACTCAGCTTATCTTGTTGCAGAGAAGGTGGTGGTCACTACAAAGCACAATGACGATGATCAGTATGTTTGGGAGTCTCAAGCTGGAGGGTCTTTCACCGTCAGGAAGGACGTTGATGGAGAACCATTAGGTAGAGGAACCAAAATCACTCTCTACCTCAAAGATGACCAGGTAAGAAAAATTCAAAATTATATGAATTTGTTTGACATTTTAGCTCTTAGGTTCTGAAATTTGAATTAAATTCACAATCCCACAATTTTTTTCATATAACAATAATGTTTAGTAGCTTTAAAAAATTGACTTAATTAACTTGCAATTGATGTTGGTGCAGTTGGAGTATTTAGAGGAGAGGAGATTGAAGGACCTAGTGAGAAAGCACTCTGAATTTATCAGCTACCCTATCTATCTTTGGACTGAGAAGACAGTTGAAAAAGAGGTCAGTGATGATGAGGAGGAAGAAACCAAGAAGGAAGAGGAAGGTGATGTGGAGGAGGTTGAAGAGGACAAAGAAAAGGATTCTAAGAAGAAAAAGAAGGTTAAGGAGGTTACCCATGAATGGGAACTTATCAACAAACAAAAACCCATTTGGCTACGCAAGCCAGAGGAAGTCACCAAGGAAGAGTATGCCTCATTCTACAAGAGTCTCACTAATGATTGGGAAGATCCTCTTGCTTGGAAGCACTTCTCTGTTGAAGGGCAACTAGAGTTTAAGGCTCTGCTATTTGTTCCTAAAAGAGCCCCATTCGATCTTTTCGATACAAGAAAGAAATTGAACAATATAAAGCTTTATGTGAGGAGGGTGTTTATCATGGACAACTGTGAAGAGCTCATTCCTGAATATTTAGGATTTGTCAAGGGCGTTGTTGACTCTGATGACTTACCGCTCAATATTTCTCGTGAAATGCTGCAACAAAACAAGATTTTGAAAGTGATCAGGAAGAATTTGGTGAAGAAATGTATTGAGATGTTCAATGAAATAGCAGAGAACAAGGAAGACTATAACAAATTTTATGAAGCATTCTCTAAAAATCTCAAGTTGGGTATTCATGAAGATAGTCAAAACAGGGCCAAGCTTGCAGACTTACTTAGGTATCACTCCACAAAAAGCGGTGATGAGATGACCAGCTTGAAGGACTATGTAACAAGAATGAAAGAGGGACAGCAACACATATACTACATAACTGGTGAGAGCAAGAAAGCTGTCGAGAACTCTCCGTTCCTTGAAAAGCTAAAGAAGAAAGGCTATGAAGTTCTATACATGGTTGATGCCATTGATGAGTATGCTGTGACACAGTTGAAGGAATATGATGGAAAGAAGTTAGTGTCTGCAACTAAGGAAGGGCTACAGCTTGAAGAACCAGAGGAAGAGAAGAAGAAGAAGGAAGAAAAGAAAAAGTCGTTTGAGAACTTGTGCAAGACAATTAAGGAAGTTCTTGGAGATAGGGTGGAGAAGGTGGTGGTGTCTGATAGAATTGTGGATTCTCCTTGTTGTTTGGTTACAGGAGAATATGGATGGACTGCTAATATGGAAAGAATAATGAAAGCTCAGGCTTTAAGAGATAACAGTATGAGTGCTTACATGTCCAGCAAGAAAATCATGGAAATTAATCCAGACAATCCTATAATGGATGAGCTGAGAAAGAGGGCTGAGGCTGATAAGAATGACAAATCAGTTAAGGACTTGGTGCTACTGCTATTTGAGACGGCACTTTTGACTTCTGGTTTCAGTCTTGATGATCCAAACACATTTGCAGCAAGAATTCACAGGATGCTCAAGTTGGGTCTGGGCATTGATGAGGATGAGAGTGGTGAACAGGAGGACATAGACATGCCAGCTTTGGAGGAAGGAGGAAATGAGGAGAGCAAGATGGAGGAAGTTGACTAAATAAGTGCAATAACGGTCGATGTATCTAATAATGTCTTTGTTTTCTATTTACTTTAGAAATTATAATGGTGTGAATTTTCTCCAGAGTACTGGTTTCAGTTCTTTCACCCCCTATTTCTTCTGTTCTGAGTTGTAGGCAACTCTGCCACTTTTTATGTATGATAGTGATAAAATGATAATAACTGCTTAAAAAACTGTTGCCTTTTAGTCTGGTTTTGTGTGTTGAACCTTGACATTAAGTAGCCCTTAAATTATAGTCATGTTAAGTTTGATTTAAGTTTGACTTATCTTCGCTTTACCAACGCGATGAAGGTCAAAAAGTAAGACGGAGTGCGTAAAGAATATTGCAGCGCAAGAAGTTTCCAAACTCGAGAAGAGTATTGGATCATAGTAGCAGTAACATACATAAAGATGCAAACGCACAAAGTAGAGTAAACCCAAAAAGAAAACGCTAAAACTGGAGTCTTAGCGTTCAAAATTCGTTCAATTAATTGAAAGCAGAGAAAATTTGGAAATGAAGATCCCGAAACAACAATCTCTCGTACTAACCTATATCTATCAGGCAATACTAAACTCTTAAAATGCAGCAAAACATATTGAACACTGTTTGGAATTGTAGCGGCCAAAACCGATATCAATCAAGAAAGATTCGAGCTGGCAGGCCCTGCACCAAAGCCACCAGCACCACGGCCAAAGCCAGGCCTTCCACCACTACCCTGCATTTTTGAAACAATAAAATGTAAGGGAAAAAGGATAGCTATGCATTTTTATTGGCAGAAAACAATTCCTATTCTCACGCTGTCAAAGTAAACAGCCAGCTTAAAATCAAGCATAATATGCAATACGAATAACAGCCTGACAAACTTGGTAATTGCGCATCTAAAACTTGTGGAAAAACATGCAGCACCAAAAGCAAAAATTAACACAGAAAATCCTATTATGTTTATCGAATTTAGGGCAAGTGTACAAAAGATGGAAAAGTTTGACACAGCAATCCAAAATCACCAACACCCGACAGTAGTTATTCTCAAACATGGCAACTAGCAAATTATACAGGTAATGCATGGAACAAGGAACAGTGAAATACACTACCAATAAGAAATAAAAGAACAAATCTTCTTTAACCAAAAAATGTAGGAAAATATTGTCAAAAAGTAGAAAGAGGGAAAAGACCGTCGTATGAAATTACCCCGTAGGTAGGTCTGTAATCAGCAGGGGCTCCACCCTTGTCACCAAACTCACCACCAGGTCCACGTGGACCTCCACGGTATCCATCTCGATCACCACCAAATCTCCTCTCTCCATCAAAACGTGAAGGACCACTGAAAGTTAACAGAGTAAAGCAAAACTATTCATGCAAAAGAAAAAAAAAGAATTAAATTCATGACCACAAAAAGGAGGGAAGACAAAAATACCGTGGGCGATCTCCTGGTGGGCCTCCCATGGGCCTACCAAGGGGTTTGCTTTGTTTCTTCAATGTAGCTGGAACAATTTCAGATGGCAAATTGAGGTAAGTTCGCAGAAACTCAATACCATCATTAGTGAGGTACCAGTAGTAGTGCATCCATGCAAATGTCTCGCGGACATACTCCTTTGACTTGAAGCTCTGCATCAGTTTAATAACCTGTAGATTCGGCACATCAATTTGTGGGTGCTTTGCAAGGTTGAAGTCCTTCTTTGCATAGCATACTCCCTCTGAAAAATCACACACACAAAACAACATAACCAAATATTGCCATCAACACAAGTACACAACAGCATCAAATCATACGAAAAGATGGTGTATAAAACCAAGTTTCATTTGCTTTGGAGAAGGAACTCGCCTCATGGGATACACAAGGACTCAGAAAACTATGATGACAATTTTTTAGTATTTTGAATAACTTGAAATCAGGTAGAGAAGACATTGACAATTGAAGTAGTATTTTGAAGGTTATAATTAATTTCCACCTAGTATAAGATTATCATTGTTTTTTGTTTGTTACTTCAAAAACCACATCATATAAAAATATTGAAAAATATTGAGACGTGAGGTTATATTTTCTATTCCAGTTTTCCATTAACTGAAGCAAAAATACAATACAGCTAGACCTTCAAATTACAGTAAGCAGAACATGCAAATTCAGCAATATTCAAATTCATAAACAGAAGCAAACCGATACAAAGTTGGTTCACAAACACTCCAATAGGCAAACAAACATAAATACGATTCAAGTCTGAAAATGAGTCCTTAAATGCAAAGGAAGCTCGAAATTTCCATCTAGACTACAATGCCAATTCTTAAATATAAAAAATGTGTGTACATGTACATGTATATATAAAAGTCTAGATAATAATACCTTGGAAGAGGTACTTAGAGATCTCGCGGCGGTTCTTCTCCGGAATGATCTGAAAACACATACCAGCAATTAAGGTCAAATAAAGCGTGAATGAATCGACTCTTAACTTTCTAATTGCTTCAAGTCCTATTATTCAAGATTTCCAGAAATCAAACAGGAAAAGATAGAGAGTAGCATAAGGTAGATACCATGGTTGCCGGTGGCGATGAGCAGGAAGTGCGATATGAGGCCGCAACGAGTGTTATTCAGTGAGGCGTAGTACTTCCTTCTCTCGTGGCAGAGGAAACCCTAACTTATTCTATATGTTTATTTATAAGCTTTTCGGGCTCTATCTGGGCTTTCCTCTTGGGCCCTTACTTCTAATTTAACCTTTCCTTTTGGGCTTTCTATATGCACATTTCACTTTCACTTTCCAAAGCCAAGGAAATTTTAATTCTCTCTTGTATATAAATAAAAATTTAATTAAATAATTTTTCAGTATGCCATTCTAAAAAATTGCATCTTAATCAATAAAATAAAACTAAGTTTAAATTCCAATAGATTGAATATCTAAAACGAAATTTGAAAAAATTAATTATATATCAAGCTAGACAAATCAATTATCATATCATAATTGCATATAAAATTCTTAATTTTTCTCTAATTAAATTTATTATATTAAATAAAGACTTATCTATATGTTATTGTGTTATGTTGGCTGCTTGAAAAAGGGGTAAAGCAGCAGGCTATCTTGCACAAAAGAGACATTACATAAAATAAAAATATTGATAGGATAGAAAGATTTGACTCTTAATTTCTTTCAAAACAACATTTAATTAAATTCGAAAATAACAAAATTATGAACAAGAAGAGTCATGATGCCTGAAAAACAAAAGGCAATCAAATAATATTAAAATGGAAGCTAATTAAATGATAGTATATTTTGAATTAAAAGATGATAAGTCTAAGCATATGGGACCTTCAATTGCCATTATTTATTATATATCATTACAAATTTTTCTTGTTATAATTATTTTTACTGTTATTAGATGTTGCAATTTGTACGTGATTAACTACAATTTGGGAAAAAATGATTATTATGAAAAGACATTAAACTAATTAAATGACCTCACAAACTATAAATTAAAATTTCTAGAAGTTATCATTTGAAATTTTGGCACACACACACGAGACATCATTAGCTTCCTTAAGTAACCTCAAATGCATCATAATATACGAGTCGTGTTTGAAAAATTTTTGCCTCCTTAATCTAATGTAATTTTCTTTCCAAGGCTTTATAGCATGTTACATTTACCTAAAGATGTTTGATTAATCAACTGAATATGTATTTAATTATTAATAAATTGAATTAGGGTTTCCATTTTTTTCATGCATGTATAATCACCAATATCGTTCTCAAGAGTATGTTAGTCATGATTAATAATCAATAAAATTAATTAATTTTTTATTAGTTACCTGCAAGAAACTGGTTTATATAATTCATGACATGGTCTATATATTTCCAATTGTTAAATTGGCCAGAAGAAAAAAAAAATCGATACACGAAAAATTCTACCATCCCATTTTGCAAAATTACAATTTTGCTTGTTTGACATTTTTTTTTTTTTTTTTTTTTTTTTCCATTTATTCTTCATGCCATGTATACAATCATCGTTCTCAAGAGTATGTTAGTCTACATAGACATTAATAATCAAATAAAATTAATTAATTTTTTATTTTTATTATTGTGTAGTTGACCTGCAAGAAACTGAGTTTATATAATTCAATGAATGGGTCTATAATAATTGTTCGTCCATGTTAATATATGTTGTGTAAGGAGAAGAAAAAAAATATCGAGAGTACTATGCAGAAAAGAGTGCTATAAATCCATCCAATAAATACTCCATTTCTGAGAAAATACAAATCTTGCGTTGTTGGTTTGTTTTCTTTCTTTTTTTTTTTTTGGAATTTGGGACTGCGAGGCCTAGGAGTTGAACAACGACATTTTTCTTCCCTTTACTCTTCTCATGCCCCTCTTTAATTTGTCTAGAGGTTACAGATAATTCAATGCGCACAACCACTGGCTTGTTATTGAAAATTAAGGCTTATAAATTGGGAAATTAACCAACAAAAAAAAAAACAAAACAAAACAAAACCCAACAAGAAGAAGAGGAAAGTCACAAACATCAATTCACGTATATTACAACAGCACTATCCAGACCACCATGCACAAAGAGGGTGTAAAAGGTTAATATAGAGACATCAACTATCAGCCACACTTTTATAAACCAATCAAAGTCGTACTAGCTTGTCGTCCAAAAGTGCCATATTATTTCCTCTTCTTTTCCAAGCACCAAAAGAAAAACACTTGCATGGATTATCAATATGTTTAGCCTGACAGTAATAATTTCGAATTTCCTTCACTCATTATATATAACTACATATCTAACTTGTTGGTGTAAGTTTTATATAAATGAGAGAGAGTGGAGAAAAATGGAAAGAACAAATATAAAATGTAATTTTACTATACCTGTGTCTCTCTCTATAAGCCTGTATATAGCTCTTTATGTTCTTTTTTTTGTATGATTTTTATAGTGTTATGTTTTGAGAGAAACCATCTTTATAGGCATTAAGAGTGAGAAAAGTATAAACACTTTAAGATCCATCATTGTTCAGCTCAGTAAAATATAATTATTATGTATATGTACACTTTGTATTATACGTATTATAGAGGTAAACACGAGATGAAAGAGCGAGAGAGTGAAAAATTCATACACACACGTGAGATAGTGTTAGGCTCCAAACTTGAATGAAGTTGGTGCAATCTATTTCTCCACCAATCTGCGATCTTCCATTCAAAACTCAGTTTATCCCCAAAATTAGATTATACATTTTTGAAACACATGAGTATGATTCAAAATTCACCTCATTCATGTTATAGTTTTTCAGACTCTTGTAAGCAACATCCAAAAGTCATATGTCTCTCCTCTTGTATCCTCGCTAGCTACTAAGATTGCATTTCCAATTGGCCCGATATCCTCTCCTCATATGTCAACTTTAATGGTGGGTAAGTAATTAGTATCCATACTCCAATTTACATTAATTTTGCTATATGCATGGATTGAGGGTAGTTGAGATCTTGATGGTGGTGGTGACATGGTAGGATTTGTAATTTCCGAGTGTCTTCTGTATATTTTATGGCAATTGCTGGTTGTTGTAAAACCTACTCTTCCCAGCTCCATCATTTATTCTGAAAATGATCAAGTTGGTAGTATGCTGTAGTAATTGATTCGTAGTACGCAGTGTGAAACAGTAAAGAAACGAGATGGAGATGAAAATAGGGTTTAATCTATGAACTCATGAATGATTGTGCCTTGTTGTCAAAAATCTTGATGAATCTAAATCGAGTCTTGTTTGAGCATAATTATTTCTTCATTATAAGTGAATGAAATTCAAGAACTATTGTCTTCTTGTGAGTATGATGGGTTGTGTGCACAGGGCTAGAAGGCTTTCTGTCACTTCTTGATTTAATCCAAGAACTTCCAAGTAGATTTCTTGTATTGAGTGATGTTTCGATCCAGGCAAGTGCTTTGCTATATCTATGTGAATATGCGTGGAGAGATGTGTGGGGCATTGCAGATTCATAATTATGAAAGGCGGACACATAAAAGTCAAGTTAAGTAATTATTACTAGTTGAAATGTCTAATTAGGTGTAAGAGAAGAAGTATTTTAGATGTGCAAAATTTTTAAAAAACTATATTAATTCTACAGTGAAAGATAAATTGCATGTTTGGTTGTGATTACATCTTAATGATAATCGACACATACTATTTCCATTTGAAAATGTGTCTTAACATACCTCCGATTTTGGGCTGCTTAACGGTCCGGCTCACTATCTACCACATATTGATCAGATTCTCTCAATAATCAAGGAAATTTATTTCACATGGGGGAACTCGCTGATTGTGTTTTCTGAGAGATATTTAAGAGGAAAAATGCAAAACACTGTGGACTTGTGTGAGAGTGATAAAATACTTTGCCTATCCTTATACTCTCAATAGTGCATATTTAAAAATTACGTAGAATCGACCATTAATTTCTCACTCTTATCTACTCAAGGTTTGGGAACCTGAGTAGCAAGCAAACAGAGTTAGATAGAGTAGACCCAAAATTGAACTCATCAGTTACGCTATGCATAATGATTCTTTCTAAAAAAAATTTTTGACCCATATTCAAGTGGCAAAGATAGGAATAAGAGACAGGAGTAAATGGAAGAACCCTACGAAGAGATAGAAGTAGTATAATTTATGAAGATAACACATATATATAATCATAAGGCGTCAGAACCCAGAGAACAAATTATGGGTATAATATAGATAAGCTTATTAAGGGTTAAAATATTAAATGCAGTTTAAAATTGTATATTGTATAATCAATAAATATAGATAACAAAAGCTGTCGTATTTTCACAAAATTCCATAGGAGGAGTCTAATAATCAGAGCTTCACGTTCACTAATGAGAGTCACACACCTTCCTCTCTGAACAGCAGTGGACCTCGGAAATATTGATTGTAAATCCATTACAACAGAACAGCTCTACCACTTATCAATTTCTTTGAAAGCCCTTAAAAAAGAATCAATATCCCCATCTATTATATTATATTCATATAATTTGTGTTGTAGTTATAATTAAGACTTCAAAAAAAAAAAAAAAAAAGATAACATATAGAGCCCAGAGAAAGATTAATTATCAGGATGCAATACTTTTCCAGGCACTTTTATCACCCCCTTCCATCGCTACGACGATCACAGGATAACTACGCCCTCTTCAAAGTTATTGATCACAGATCCAAACACCTCACTACACTTACCTTCTCTTCCCCATAGATGCACTTATTCCTCCTGAGCCGCAGCCAAACCACCATGCGCGACGCAAATCACTAGATCTCTTCATGCCGAGACGCCCTCTTTACCAACTGCACACCGACTGCGGCAACTATTATGTCTCGTCAACGCGAGCCAACAAACTGACCCACGAAACGAACATCCTCGACCCTACCATCGCCACAAAGCGACGGGCCCGCACCCCCCCGCGCGCCATCTTACCGCACAAACGACTCGACCGGACAGAGGCCAACGATCTAGCACGGCTCCACCACAGGCCATCCATGAGGTAATACATGGAATAAATCTAAAATAAAGCTTTTCAAATCCTTCTTCAGGTGACCAAAAAGGCCTCTCTAAAACCTTCTGTTGCCATTGCAGCAAGCAGATATGGTGAGCAGTATTACATAAAAAAAAAAAATCTCTCCACGTTTCTTTGTTCTCT